CCGTCAGCGACGACTCAAGAGATGGACTTAGAGAGCATCTTTGGTCAGGTCACATCCGGGGCACAAATGATGGCTTAACGAACGCATTCACAACCAAACTAACTGTGCTGACGCAAAGGTTTTAGTACCAAAACTGTTGCAAGATTGGCGTTTTTTCAAATTGTCATCTTCACAGAATTGTCATCTTTATCAAATTATCAAGATATGTAGTCTAGATCAGTTGGTACCCCGGTCTTGTTTCTCGCCGTTCCATCGATGACACTGCAAGATATTTGGTTCTTCAGCTACAAATACGTTATGGGGACCTGTTTGTTTCGTAGGGCTAGTGATCTATGCGGCGCTGTACAGGTGTGTGTGAATGCCTGTTTCTATACATTAACTACCTTCATGTCCGTGTGTTTTATTTGTGGGTAGAGCCAGGCCAGTTAGTGGAAATCAAAATATTCTCTGATCTGCGATGCGAGTTTCGCATTATTAGCTATTACCACAGATGTATGTAAATACGCTTTGAATATCCATGAGGGAGTTTCGCGATATACTATTTGTTAAATTATTAATTATACCCAACCTATCACGTAACTTTTTAGTACCACTTTCACAAGGACAACAGTTAGAACATGGGCTCAAACATGTAACATTGCAAACTGATTGACCAGTGCTCGTAAGTTGTGAAGGAGGTGGGGACACTAGTGTGGGGTGGTGTGGTGGTTAAAAGCGTTCGCTCGTCGCACTGAAGACCCAGGTTCGATTCCTCACTTTTAAAGTAAAATGTGCGAATCCCATTCCCGAGGTACCTGGTTATTGCTCTAATCGCGGCAACACCATACTCACTCACCCTTACCTTGTATATATAACTGAAAGAAATATATCCTAATTTTTTGGGAATACGTTATGATTGTATATTTCTTGTACACTTCACATCTTGGCCAGGTCGTCATAGCAACGTGTTATTTCTTCCCTATTTATCTGTACAGTGTTTTCCTAAAAATGTTCAGTTCACAGCACAAATAGATATGATCAGGACGAATCGTTTTATTTTCTACTTATCGATTGGGTCCCCAGGGCGTATGTTTGAAAACTGAATCCTCGCCTATAATTCGCATGAATTCTGAAGATGAAGTGATTAGGGGTTAAATTTGAGCCTGAAATTAGTTCATATATTTATACTGGCTCATTTTATTCTCTAGGAATACACAACGCAGCAGAATATAATATATCCGCATGTTGTTCGTTGGATTGCTTGAGTACACACTGCATTGTATATAGGATCAATCCGGTGGGCGCCCCTTTGTGCAATTGTTATATTTCAGATTCGCGTGATGGTGTAAATACCAGCTTCGTTCAATTGCAGTTTTAAGTGTAAGCGCTTCTTGTTGGAGAGGTATTTACAATAGAACAGATCCAGCTGAAAGTAACGGAACACGTGTGATGTGCAAGAATATTAGCTCCAATGTCTGGCATTACCCGCTTTCCCATGTTAAGTCCGCCGGGGGAACGTTTTCCATATTTTCAACAAATGTGACACTAAGTGACAAAGTTTAACAAACAAATAGCTTCCCAGAATATTTCCATTCAGATTTTTTGAAGATCACCCTCCTTTTGCAATAGGCTCTGCTTGTTAGAAACGCAAATTGTTTCATGAAGTATTTCCATTCAATTTAATTATTTTAAATTCACGGGTCGCTTTCCATCTAAGACCTTCTCTGTGTAAAGCGTTTTCCCCCGCAACTGAACCCTTTAACTATTCTTTTAACAAGACAACATAAATAATCTCAACGATCAGAAATTCTTGTTAAACGCGTTGTGAATTCCCATAAATTTCCAATGCAAGAAGCCAATTATATGCTGTGAAGACCCAGACCCAAACCCACGCACTCCACCTCCTTTCTGTGTACCATACTTCAGTCAGCTGTGATTGTCATCTGTCAAACAGTGCATGTAAATAAACTGCTTCTCTTTCTCTCTAAATATGTTCGTGTGTTCAATTAACAACCTCATCCACATGTTCATCAAACATAACAATATCATGTTGGTGCAGATCGATATCGAGGTGTAGAATCTGAAATCAACACGAGGTAACTGGCAATGTCCACCATAAGCAGACGTACATCCATAATTGACCGACTAATTGAAAACAAAAAAGGAGTAAGAAGAAATGATTTATTATCCGTATTCGGTGTCAACGTCTTAACCTCTTTCCATGGCAAATATTTTCAGCGATGTTGGTAAACATACAGCATATTGGTGAACCTGCACGCCTTGTAGGGCGTGGGGAAAACCCAGCAACGCAACGCAACGCAACGCAACGCAACGCAACAAAACACAAGAACGTTTCTTGGACACAACATACACAACTAAACTACATCTCTTAAAAAACAAAATATTCAATTACATTCAAAGGTAGTGAATTGCGTATATCAAAATTGTAATACTGTCACTATGATTTAAAACTCAGAAAAAACCCATTGATGTTTGATTTGCTAATTATTGAAACTGGAATCTCCAGTAAAATTGTAAATACTAATTGGTGGTATGCACAAATCATAAATACATGTCAACATAAACAGGCATGAGAGCCACAAGGGGGTTAATCTCAGTGTGGTGTTTTTTCACCAATATTATGGCTGTGTTCACATTTCCCCAAATGGGTATTGATCTCCAGGCAGAGTCCCTGCTGAGTTAATATTTGTCATTTCAAGTTCAACACACATGGTAACAGAAACGGCTAGTTTGTGTAACAGTCTAGCTTAAAACTCAAAAACACAACATCCTGGTGCGAGGGGCACTGTGAGCTCTTCATAAACCTATTATATACATATAATGGTGGGAGACTACAAGCCAACATTGATCACATGGAAAACAGTGACGGTCTCAAACACTGAGAGTAATGTCATGATGTCATGATGTCATGCACTAATGTGTCGCCTACACATCTCTGATGACCTCACATTGTAAGCTTTCGCTGGGTGGAACCCAGCTTCCGGGAACATTTGGTGACATCACTATTTTTTTAGGTGCAGTCACATATGGAAACATTAATATTATATAATGCTTTCAATATTATTTCTGAGAGGATTATTGAGGTATTGCCCTTCAATATTCATCATCACAATCATAAAATGTTGCTGTTGTCAAAATATCTTGTCAATATATGAGCATAAGAATGTGTTTGTATCCTCTAATTTCTTATAATATTGTGCTGTCATTTGAATTTAACTTGAAACCTTGATTGTAATTAATACACAATGGACACTTCTGATTTGTTATGGTGCTTGTAACACATTAAGATGTTATACCATACATGGCTTTGGCAAAGCTTTTAAAAATTCTATGATAGACTTGTGAAATATATTTCCAATTTTGCTACAGCAATGCCCAAAACTATGTCTGATGCAATTCCCTGTTTTGACTTGTAGCAGATGCTCCTGTGTTTGTTCCGGATAACAATTGACTTGCCTTTCCATGTGTTTGTCACCAGGTACAATGATGGAGCCTGACATGGTTATAATATAGTCATGAACATTATTTTGGAGCAGGACTGAGTCCTTGTGGTTTGTAGGTCTAAGTGTTATATGGTCTCTGAGTAAACTACACAATGTTTGATCCAGAACCTGTGTGAGAGTAACTACATGGACATCATTGAACACCATCATCATCGGACGTTATCACATCGTAAACACCAAATAAACATGGAGTAAGTAGTTTGGCCTGGACAGTGCCAATGTCATAAAAGGGCTAGCTTGAAAAGATGAAAACAACATTGAACTCTTACATCCTCTTAGAGCTTATTCCAATGTGTTCATGCCATAAAAAATGATAATGATTACCGGTAATCATTACTTGTGTTACTCATGGATGACATGTCTGTCGTTATTTGTTTGTTTGATAATGTCACACAATTTCCCCAACTAGTTGACAACAGCATGTATATAAGTAGAGAAGTAAACCTTTGAATAATGTCCGCCGTGATATTGCTGGAATATTGCTAAAAGCGGCGTAAAACTAAACTCAGTCAGTCAGTCAGTTGAATAATGTGACCTCATTGAAACACATCATAATACATCACATTGCATCACAGGGAATGTTCTAAGCCTACCCACAGAATAGCATTCTGTGTTAACCTGTAAAATGGATGGACAATGAATAAATCTAAAAAATACTGTCAGCGTCTAAACAAATGAAATCACTTTTGAGATAAAAGTTATATAAAACATATTTTGTGTGAACAGGTGTTAAAAAACTTAACAAAAGCATTACATTTGATATTTTCTTGCTATTATTTGTGACCTTCAAGGGGAATGAACACATTTTCCAGTTTCGATACCATTCTTGTACAATTTGTCTCCATGGTAGATAAATATTTATTTCAAGGAATGTTGCATCACAGATATGTATATATTTAATATAGTATGTGACCTTATTGATATACATTGTCCTCTGATTGTAAAAACAGTAAACAAATACATAAAAAACATATAATCCAAAACAACAAAATAGTTATATATACTGTAGATATGTATATATTATACAATAACAAAGCAACGATAACAAGTTATGTACAAAAAGTTACCTCTATCCAAGTAAAGTACAATACACTAGTACTCAGTTGTCCTACCAACAGAGAATGATACACACATCACGTCTTTAAAAACATTAAGTACCTGTGGTTAAAAAAACATATTTAATTTGTGTTGTGCTGAAATTAACTACATTATTCAGTTTTTTTAATAGTTTTTAATCTTTTGACTGTGATCAACCATCGTCAATACTTCATAGGTCTGTAGACATTAGGAACATTGTGGAATATATTGTATAAACCTATGAATAACTGATGATGATTGTGATGTGAAATAATATCTTGAAAGCATGCACTAGTTTACTAGTTTATATCACATCTAACCATTATGACAGATTCTAAGATGCCTAGCGGTTAGAACAATCGAAAAAAAACCAAACATTATCAGACAATAAAGGTATAGTTTTTGCGCAATTTTTGACAATCCACTTAAAAAATCAACAGAATGATTCATCAGACTTAAATCTTGTGCTGTTTGACATACCGGGTATATTTTCGCATAAAATTTGAATAATGACCTATACTTTTGTTAGTTTTACTTGTCAGAATGAATGTTAGAATGTCAGTGAATGGTTCAGGATCACCTGTTATGCTAGAGGTATCATGAAAGTAGTTAATCTGGGGACATAGATCACACTTCAGATAACGTTGGTTTAATCTGACACTCTATGTGGACACAACAAGAACTAATGCTGTGAATATGTAGCACAACAGCGTTCCAGGAACACCTTGCACTGTTGGATAACCTCAAGTGGAATGCTTTGCAAACTCTCTGAGAAGACTGGGAGACATCACATAACTATAGCTAATGAACGCTTTTAAAGTGGGAAGTATATAACACAATATAAGCAATCAACCACTACTTAGTACTCATACATACTCTACAAACATATTTAGTACTAAAATAACACACATCACTAAAACAGAGTAAAACATTTATCATTTTCGTCAATCGTTGACACCATCTTTCCTTATTTACACAAAGTTGAAATGAAAATTGGTCACATGTTTGCATAACTTGTCAACTGGACAGCTAAAAATGAAACATCTAGAGGCTCAAATGTTACAGGGCTATTCAGCTCATTCAGTCATCTAACCTCTAACAAGACATCGATAGTGACATGCAACAGTTATGTCTTCATTAACAGATTTTCAGGTTATTTGCAAATAAACTGTAACGAAATGATACACAGAAATATATTTAAGTAGTTTGTGATATTATTTCATTATTTAAGTTGGAATACCTTCGTAAATTTTGTTCAGGATCCGGTGATGTTTGATGCATTATGGATGAAGAAGTGATACTGGGAGTTGAGGAGGATTCTGTGGCTACTGACCATGAAGTTTACAGAGATGTTGGATGAAGATGAACCTTGCAATGAACTATCCTGTCACATTGTTTACACATGTTGCTTAATATTGGGATTATGTAATACATTGCTGCACTTTATTTTTCTTTCATGGCAAAATATTCCCAACAATTTTGAAAAATTTATATGAGTACTCTGAAACACGTCATTCTGCATTAATGCATTAATTTAAATTTTTAAGATAAAAAATTAAGAAAATTAAAGAAAAGGTGAAGAAACCTCTTCAAATGTGAAAGCAAAATTTTCACATCATTGCTTGAACAAATTTCTTTGCATGTATAAAAATGTTTCTAAATGACAAATAAGTATATATATTCTCAAGTAAACAGTTCCTCCGATGAGACCTACATAAGTAGTGAGAGTTTTCAAAGTTTTCTTTCACTAAACATTTTTAAAAAATTATTGCAAGAGTCCACAAAAAATAAGAAACGAATATTAATGACTACTTAATTACACATGTATTATTGAAATGACAACACTTACGTAGTGTTAATAACACCAATGGTTTTTAATCTCAGCGTCTACAGTTACAACTAGTGCTGTCTATAACTACATTAGGAGATAAGAAATCATCATGGAAATTGATTATGAAAAGATGACATATGAAATAAAATGCACATGACCACACAAATATTTACAAAATATCTTGAATCAGAATATACAACATGTGAATGCAGACAATTGAAGTATCTAGTTTGCATATATCTATTCCTAGTCAACTTCTATGTAAGTTCTATGAGCAAAGATTAGCATCTGTTTATATACACTGCTGGGTTCAATACAAGATACATGGAAACAAATTGGTTTTTGATTAAATATAAAATAAATAAATACATATATTTCATACATATATGTCTTTTAGTAATTCTGAATCCTTCCACACTGTCCTTTACTGGTTAGCCTACATCAGAGTGGCGGTGCAAGAGTTACCTCCCCTGTACTACTGCTCTCAACATGTTTAAAGGTGGGATCTCTGAGCAATTCTTTAGTACAGTTGATATAGGGCAAATTGAATTATACCACTGTATATTACTGTACCATGCCAATTAAGAAACTATATCTTAATTATATATTGTTTATGGATGAATGATGTTCTTTTAACAAAATACAACATTTTACTTTACAAAACTGACCAATAAAAATCATCATAAACCAAATTTCAATCAGCAGTTAAAACATAAAAACACCAGTATATTGGTGTTCATAAAATGATCAGTTTTACTACCTCCTTATCTAAGTAACTGTTTCAACTATATAAGGTTTGCCAGAAGACTTGTTTCATTGGCAATTCTTAGAAGTTGATGGAGGATAAAGTGGATTATATTAATGGTTAACAACTTCTATACTATACTGTAATAGAGAAGACTTTTCACATCAAGCTACACTTACAGCTATCTCAAACCGGTACATGGGATTAGAATATTTAACTGATGTGCCTCACCCTTGGAAGGAAAAGATAATTTCTTTTTTTTAAATTATACTTTCTCAAAATAGTTTAATTGTCTCCTGTCAATGTTGTTTCAAACGAATCTATGCAATAATAATCTATGCAATGTGAATAATATATCATGTTAATTTTATGAACCTCAAGAAAAGAAAGATTTTACAAAGATGAAATAACAATATCTGAAGATATAATTATGTACCTCCATCACGCTAAACATGAGATTGCCAACTGAGTCCCAGGTTGATCTTAGTTTGAACTGATGCTCACGGCAGGGTCACATGTAAAACTTGCTGCATCTACACACATGCGGAGCTAGTGTACGCCTACACGATATGTTCATCTACTTCACCATAGCCTTCATAGTCACCTAAACTTCACAGTGAAGACATAACAATTCTAGTTCAAATAAACGTCAATTGAAGCACCTTGATCAAGAATGTATTCCTCTAACAGACACATCCACAATTATCAAAATGACATCCATACACATTGAAGAGATGTTGTCTGAAGTGAAGTATTGTAAATATATTTGAGCTAACTTGAGCTTTGAGGAATCAACAAAATGACTAATCCTGTTTAGATGGTATCACATGATGATCTGCCATAGTCTGATCAGCTTCATGCACTACATTCTATAAGTTCTTTCACCACGATCACAACAAATTTCTGCCAGTAATGCAGCAATATTTTGATATTATTGCAGCACGTTTGAGGCATTATCACGATAATATCACAAGCTTTCACAATAAAACCATGCCTGACCATTGCAAGACATCGCCACAACATTCCGTGCTAGAAAGAACTTACACGATGTAGCGCACCTGGAACTATTTACATGCAAAAGGAAAATTTCCTTCAAAGATGCGATTTAGAATTTGAATTTTGTAACAAATAAGCAGTAACAGGTTACAGTATAGAAACAGCAAGATAGGGAGAAACCCAGTAAAAATGTCTATATTAATCCATATGGAATGTTGACATATTGATCAATTCTACAAGGACTGCGACAGCCCCGAAGTAAAGATTACATCTTTCAACAACTTCAAAACTGTAGAGATTCTATACTACATGATCAGTTTGTATCTCAGGGGTTCATGAAAGTTCAGCTTTTAAATAATCATTTTCATCTCAATTCCTTGTATTCACCTACATATGCAAAAAACTGACCATAGTTTGTTTGCATTGTAATAAAGTGATCACAAGGGTTCTAGATGAAAACAAATTTGAAAAGATAAAACTTTGAAGATATCCCTTGACTAAATGACTACATCAGTAATACATGCTAGTCTAACACAACTGTTATACTGAAGATTGGAGAATCTGCAGGTTCTGGTGCAGCGGTATTGTAGCACTGTGACAGTTCCGGGGCTGTGCTCCAACAGAGCTGTTCCTGTGCACTTCAGCACAGGTTGATCTCTTGTGAATCAGCACTGCTAAAGGGCTGTTGCAGCCAGTGTTACAACCCGGTTACAGACCAATTTTAGCTCTGTTATAGTCCAGTGGCAGTTCTGTTACAGGTCTTCAGCGGGACTGTTGCAGGTCTGTTAAAGGACTGTTGTAGTCCCAGGTTTGCAGGTTTGTGAAGGTCTGTTGTATTCATGTTGCAGGTCTGTTCAGGTCTGTTGTAGTCCCATTGCAGGTCTGTTCAGGACTGTTGTATTCCTGTTGCAGTTCTGTCAAAGGACTATTGCAGGACCATTGTAGCTCCGTTGCAGCACAGTTGCAGGACTGTTGCAGTGTAAGTGTGACACAGTTGATGTCTAGGGCCATGTTTCGTGTATGCCAGGTGGACTAACGACATACTGCTGTGTAAGACTTGTTGTTCTTCTTACATGTCACCAAAGATTCCTGTCAACACAGAAACAGAAGAAATGCATAAGCATCATAAAATACGATAGCCCCTGTGTTTAATAGCTGCAGAATGTTTTTGGAGGTTTTAGGGTTGAGGTTAAGTGTGTTTGTGGTTGTTGTTGAAGGCAGTGGTGAGGAATATTCCAGCTATATGATTCAATCCAAACTAGAATCCAGTGATTTATAGTATGAACAATGATCCATAACTTCAGGATACAATGACATCAAGCAGGTCACCGAGTCTGATGACCCCATTCATTACGTGCCTCTTACTCAGCAATATTGAGTTAAGGGGTAGGAACAGAGGAGGTCATTTCAAAAGACCCATGGGTGGGTCAACAAAGCCATAACGGGTGATAGAGGGTATGAAAAACATTGATCTTGAATGAACCCATCCCTTGCGAGTGTTTCCTCTTCTCAGAGGACATTACAGGACCCTTTTCACACATGCTGTTTTTTATCAGGATCCAAGTACTGTGGTCAAATCGTTGACCTATTTTCTGACCTATTTTCCAGTCACCATGGTTTAGTATCTGTCTTTATTAGTGAGTGAGTTTAGTTTTACGCCACACTCAGCAATATTCCAGCTATATAGCGGCAGTCTGTAAATAATCGAGGCTTTACCAGACGATCCAGTTATCAACAGCATGAGCATCAATATAAGCAATTGGGAACCGATGACATTGTCAACCAAGTCAGCAAGCCTGACCACCCAATCCCATCAGTTGCCTCTTACTGTCCTTTTATTAACAATTCCTCCAAAACATGAGCGTTTCCTCCCTTAAATAATGTCGCAACACCTGGACAGTGCACCCACCTGCAAATGTCTTCCTCAAGTTCCTCATAGTGTCTTCTTCATCCATGCTTTGGTTTCGTCCAACCTGGGGCACCGGCATGGGGGAGGAGCCCATCTGACCTTGACCTCCAATTGGCATCATTCCTGGTCCTCTAGCATTGGCAGGATTTCCCTGTGGGCTGAATGGACACAGAGGACATGATGAGTTGTTTGGGGGAAACCATTCTCTATCTGCAGTAAACCTACCCTGACCCCAATATCCATTGGCAGGATTTCCCTGTGGGCTAAATGGACACAGAGGACATGATGAGTTGTTTGGGGGAAACCATCCTCTATCTGCAGTAAACCTACCCTGACCCCAATATCCATTGGCAGGATTTCCCTGTGGGCTAAATGGACACAGAGGACATGATGAGTTGTTTGGGGGAAACCATCCTCTATCTGCAGTAAACCTACCCTGACCCCAATATCCATTGGCAGGATTTCCCTGTGGGCTAAATGGACACAGAGGACATGATGAGTTGTTTGGGGGAAACCATCCTCTATCTGCAGTAAACCTACCCTCACCCCAATATCCATTCCCACTATCTCAAATTACCTGCCCCTTCATCCATCTAACAAACCAATTAGTTACAAACCAGCCTCAGTGATTCATTCACATCAACAGCATGGCGATAAGTCACTTATATTCTGATCGAGAGATTCAGCATTGAAAAACTGACTGACAAAGGAAACAAAGGAAAGTCCTCAAAAATATTTTTGGGTGCCAGAACCATGGGAAGGGATTCCTGGGTTAGGGTAGGTTTACTGAAATGTGAGTCCAAGAGAAGTAGAGGATGGTAGGAGATCTGACCCCACGGTTTGGAGTCCAGATGCTGGAAAGAGTTAGAAACCAGACATTTTGTTTTGAGTGTTGATTGGAAAAGTGTTGCTTGAGAGACAAACTTGCTAAAGCTAGTATGTCTTTACTATGTGCATGTATATGAAGATATTGTGTGGGCAGGTAAGTTTTGGTCAGGGCTGGCAAGTCTGGCTGAAACGTTTGGGAGTTTCATACCCTGTCTTTACTATGTGAATGTTTACTTTAGTTTGAAAATGTTTGAAATAGGAACAATATAAAAACTACTTTCATACACAAATTGTTTACAAAGATTCATCTACTTCCTTGTCACGCACTTGTTGCCTTGCATCTGGGACATCTGCTGATTCTGTTGCATCTGCTGTTGTTGCTGGGACATCTGTGGGTTGGGACCCTGGCTGCCGTTCATGGCGTAATGCATCAGTCCTCCTGTACTGGACGTCTTGCTGCCAGCAAAATACACAGCCATGTAGCCAGTATGTTCTCTCAATTTAATCATTGTGATCTCCAACAATATGGAAATACACAGCCATGTAGCCAGTATGTTCTCTCAATTTAATCATTGTGATCCCCAACAATATGGAATATGAAACAAACGTTAAATCGCTGACTTTGCATGCTGGAGATCAGTCCCCTTTGACAGTGTGGGTTCGAACTCCTTGCCCTCTCAACACCTCTCTCCTGCCTCACCCCGATCCCTCCTTCCCTCCCACCATTGCACACCGAGACTTACCTCATTGTTGGTGTGGGTCGACAGTAGATCTGCATTTTGCCGAGGACCAGCTCGGCTATGTGTCTGCGGTCCTCCTCCTGCGTCTCTCCCAGCAGCGTCATGGATGACCCATTCACCTGCAGCATATATTCCACAAAGTGTACACAATGCAGGGAAGGAAACCATTCAAAATTTCGCTCTGGACCACAGAACCAGTGTGTGGACAATAATTAGTGGTCCTGTCTGTACTTCAAAGTAACATTCGTAGATTGACTTAACTATTAATACAAAATTCACTGGCCACCAGGACCACTACAAACTTATCAATTAGTGGTGATGAATTTTTACTAGCCAGGGACCACAGGACCAGCATAAATTTCACACACTGCAATGTAGTCTAGCATAAAACACATTCAGCAGTGTAGGAAAGATGTAGAAAATCTAGTCTGTCCACAGGACTGGCAGGTCAAATTTTTTACCAGTCCTGCCAGAATCTAGCCTGTCCTCCAAATATAAATAAATTCATCCGTCTCGGACGTTGGGACGGGCTATCTTTCCTACACTGCATTCAGGTTTCACAAAGTTTTATCGTAAACATGTGTAAGACATTTCTAACTTTGATGCAAATCACTGACAGAAAAAATATATTCGATGTAATTCCCTATTTTGACTTTTACCATATTGTCCCATGGTTTTTCAGGTGATCAACTAACCAACTAACTCTTTGTATTTGTTTGTAATGAGTGCCAATGGTGGACAGGATACACTCCTTTTTTGTGAACACCTGGTACCATCACTATTTGACAGTCATTAATAAACACTTGCTCATGATATAGTCAGAATTGTGCAATCGACTCAGCTTTTGGAAAACACTGATCATTGGTGTGGAAAATCCCTTGTCACTTATATAAATGAATTATAGTTTTTTTGAATGATATGTTGAAATCATACCTGTACAAAATGAAAGAGCTAATCTGACTGATTATCCAACTGATGATCAGCTCACCTCAATGATGTACTCTTTCCCATCCTTGCCTTGTATTGCTTCTACTGCCACCATGTCCAGACCTCCAAACATCTCTGCACATTCATCGGCCCATAACTTGAATCTACACAAGAAACATACACATTCATCTGCCCATAACTTGAATCTACACAAGAAACATACACATTCATCTGCCCATAACTTGAATCTACACAAGAAACATACACATTCATCTACCCATAACTTGAATCTACACAAGAAACATACACATTCATCTGCCCATAACTTGAATCTACACAAGAAACATACACATTCATCGGCCCATAACTTGAATCTACACAAGAAACATACACATTCATCGGCCCATAACTTGAATCTACACAAGAAACATACACATTCATCTGCCCATAACTTGAATCTACACAAGAAACATACACATTCATCTGCCCATAACTTGAATCTACACAAGAAACATACACATTCATCTGCCCATAACTTGAATCTACACAAGAAACATACACATTCATCTGCCCATAACTTGAATCTACACAAGAAACATACACATTCATCTGCCCATAACTTGAATCTACACAAGAAACATACACATTCATCTACCCATAACTTGAATCTACACAAGAAACATACACATTCATCTGCCCATAACTTGAATCTACACAAGAAACATACACATTCATCTGCCCATAACTTGAACCTACACAAGAAACATACACATTCATCTACCCATAACTTGAATCTACACAAGAAACATACACATTCATCGGCCCATAACTTGAATCTACACAAGAAACATACACATTCATCTACCCATAACTTGAATCTACACAAGAAACATACACATTCATCTACCCATAACTTGAATCTACACAAGAAACATACACATTCATCTGCCCATAACTTGAACCTACACAAGAAACATACACATTCATCTGCCCATAACTTGAATCTACACAAGAAACATACACATTCATCTGCCCATAACTTGAATCTACACAAGAAACATACACATTCATCGGCCCATAACTTGAATCTACACAAGAAACATACACATTCATCTGCCCATAACTTGAATCTACACAAGAAACATACACATTCATCTGCCCATAACTTGAATCTACACAAGAAACATACACATTCATCTGCCCATAACTTGAATCTACACAAGAAACATACACATTCATCTGCCCATAACTTGAATCTACACAAGAAACATACACATTCATCTACCCACAACTTGAACCTACACAAGAAACATACACATTCATCTACCCATAACTTGAATCTACACAAGAAACATACACATTCATCGGCCCATAACTTGAATCTACACAAGAAACATACACATTCATCTGCCCATAACTTGAATCTACACAAGAAACATACACATTCATCTGCCCATAACTTGAATCTACACAAGAAACATACACATTCATCTACCCACAACTTGAATCTACACAAGAAACATACACATTCATCTGCCCATAACTTGAACCTACACAAGAAACATACACATACATCTGCCCATAACTTGAATCTACACAAGAAACATACACATTCATCTACCAAGCCTTGATCTACACAGAGGACACTTGCATGAATATACCCCAGCCTTGAACCTTATAACACTGTAGACATATGCATTAATGTAACCATAATTTGAATCTACACAAAGAACATATGCATGAATAAACCCCAGCCTTGAACCTTTAATACTGTAGACATATGCATTAATGTAACCATAATTTGAATATACACATTCATCTGCCCATAACTTGAATCTACACAAGAAACATACACATTCATCTACCCACAACTTGAATCTACACAAGAAACATACACATTCATCGCCCATAACTTGAATCTACACAAGAAACATACACATTCATCTACCCATAACTTGAATCTACACAAGAAACATACACATTCATCTGCCCATAACTTGAATCTACACAAGAAACATACACATTCATCGCCCATAACTTGAATCTACACAAGAAACATACACATTCATCGCCCATAACTTGAATCTACACAAGAAACATACACATTCATCTACCCATAACTTGAATCTACACAAGAAACATACACATTCATCTACCCATAACTTGAATCTACACAAGAAACATACACATTCATCTGCCCATAACTTGAATCTACACAAGAAACATACACATACATCTGCCCATAACTTGAACCTACACAAGAAACATACACATTCATCTACCCATAACTTGAACCTACACAAGAAACATACACATTCATCTGCCCATAACTTGAATCTACACAAGAAACATACACATTCATCTGCCCATAACTTGAACCTACACAAGAAACATATACACATTCATCTACCCACAACTTGAATCTACACAAGAAACATACACATTCATCGGCCCATAACTTGAATCTACACAAGAAACATACACATTCATCTACCCATAACTTGAATCTACACAAGAAACATACACATTCATCTACCCATAACTTGAATCTACACAAGAAACATACACATTCATCTGCTCATAACTTGAACTCTACACAAGAAACATACACATTCATTGGCCCATAACTTGAATCTACACAAGAAACATACACATTCATCTGCCCATAACTTGAATCTACACAAGAAACATACACATTCATCGGCCCATAACTTGAATCTACACAAGAAACATACACATTCATCTGCCCATAACTTGAATCTACACAAGAAACATACACATTCATTGGCCCATAACTTGAATCTACACAACAAACATACACATTCATCTGCCCATAACTTGAATCTACACAAGAAACATACACATTCATCGGCCCATAACTTGAATCTACACAAGAAACATACACATTCATCTACCCACAACTTGAATCTACACAAGAAACATACACATTCATCTACCCATAACTTGAATCTACACAAGAAACATACACATTCATCTGCCCATAACTTGAACTCTACACAAGAAACATACACATTCATCTGCCCATAACTTGAATCTACACAAGAAACATACACATTCATCTGCCCATAACTTGAATCTACACAAGAAACATACACATTCATCTACCCACAACTTGAATCTACACAAGAAACATACACATTCATCTGCCCATAACTTGAACCTACACAAGAAACATACACATACATCTGCCCATAACTTGAATCTACACAAGAAACATACACATTCATCTACCAAGCCTTGATCTACACAGAGGACACTTGCATGAATATACCCCAGCCTTGAACCTTATAACACTGTAGACATATGCATTAATGTAACCATAATTTGAATCTACACAAAGAACATATGCATGAATAAACCCCAGCCTTGAACCTTATAACACTGTAGACATATGCATTAATGTAACCATAATTTGAATCTACACAAAGAACATATGCATGAATAAACCCCAGCCTTGAACCTTATAATACTGTAGACATATGCATTAATGTAACCATAATTTGAATATACACATTCATCTGCCCATAACTTGAATCTACACAAGAAACATACACATTCATCTACCCACAACTTGAATCTACACAAGAAACATACACATTCATCGGCCCATAACTTGAATCTACACAAGAAACATACACATTCATCGGCCCATAACTTGAATCTACACAAGAAACATACACATTCATCGGCCCATAACTTGAACCTACACAATAAACATACACATTCATCTACCCATAACTTGAATCTACACAAGAAACATACACATTCATCTGCCCATAACTTGAATCTACACAAGAAACATACACATTCATCGGCCCATAACTTGAATCTACACAAGAAACATACACATTCATCTACCAAGCCTTGATCTACACAGAGGACACTTGCATGAATAAACCCCAGCCTTGAACCTTAGAACACTGTAGACATATGCATTAATGTAACCATAATTTGAATCTACACAAAGAACATATGCATGAATAAACCCCAGCCTTGAACCTTATAACACTGTAGACATATGCATTAATGTAACCATAATTTGAATCTACACAAAGAACATATGCATGAATAAACCCCAGCCTTGAACCTTATAATACTGTAGACATATGCATTAATGTAACCATAATTTGAATATACACATTCATCTGCCCATAACTTGAATCTACACAAGAAACATACACATTCATCTACCCACAACTTGAATCTACACAAGAAACATACACATTCATCGGCCCATAACTTGAATCTACACAAGAAACATACACATTCATCGGCCCATAACTTGAATCTACACAAGAAACATACACATTCATCGGCCCATAACTTGAACCTACACAAGAAACATACACATTCATCTACCCATAACTTGAATCTACACAAGAAACATACACCTTCATCTGCCCATAACTTGAATCTACACAAGAAACATACACATTCATCTGCCCATAACTTGAACCTACACAAGAAACATACACATACATCTGCCCATAACTTGAATCTACACAAGAAACATACACATTCATCTACCAAGCCTTGATCTACACAGAGGACACTTGCATGAATATACCCCAGCCTTGAACCTTATAACACTGTAGACATATGCATTAATGTAACCATAATTTGAATCTACACAAAGAACATATGCATGAATAAACCCCCAGCCTTGAACCTTATAACACTGTAGACATATGCATTAATGTAACCATAATTTGAATCTACACAAAGAACATATGCATGAATAAACCCCAGCCTTGAACCTTATAATACTGTAGACATATGCATTAATGTAACCATAATTTGAATATACACATTCATCTGCCCATAACTTGAATCTACACAAGAAACATACACATTCATCTACCCACAACTTGAATCTACACAAGAAACATACACATTCATCGGCCCATAACTTGAATCTACACAAGAAACATACACATTCATCGCCATAACTTGAACCTACACAAGAAACATACACATTCATCTACCCATAACTTGAATCTACACAAGAAACATACACATTCATCTGCCCATAACTTGAATCTACACAAGAAACATACACATTCATCGCCCATAACTTGAATCTACACAAGAAACATACACATTCATCTACCAAGCCTTGATCTACACAGAGGACACTTGCATGAATATACCCCAGCCTTGAACCTTATAACACTGTAGACATATGCATTAATGTAACCATAATTTGAATCTACACAAAGAACATATGCATGAATAAACCCCAGCCTTGAACCTTATAACACTGTAGACATATGCATTAATGTAACCATAATTTGAATCTACACAAAGAACATATGCATGAATAAACCCCAGCCTTGAACCTTATAATACTGTAGACATATGCATTAATGTAACCATAATTTGAATATACACATTCATCTGCCCATAACTTGAATCTACACAAGAAACATACACATTCATCTACCCACAACTTGAATCTACACAAGAAACATACACATTCATCGCCCATAACTTGAATCTACACAAGAAACATACACATTCATCGCCCATAACTTGAATCTACACAAGAAACATACACATTCATCGGCCCATAACTTGAACCTACACAAGAAACATACACATTCATCTACCCATAACTTGAATCTACACAAGAAACATACACCTTCATCTGCCCATAACTTGAATCTACACAAGAAACATACACATTCATCGCCCATAACTTGAATCTACACAAGAAACATACACATTCATCGCCCATAACTTGAATCTACACAAGAAACATACACATTCATCTGCCCATAACTTGAACCTACACAAGAAACATACACCTTCATCTGCCCATAACTTGAACCTACACAAGAAACATACACATTCATCTACCCATAGCTTGAATCTACACAAGAAACATACACATTCATCGCCCATAACTTGAACCTACACAAGAAACATACACATTCATCGGCCCATAACTTGAATCTACACAAGAAACATACACATTCATCTGCCCATAACTTGAACCTACACAAGAAACCTACACATTCATCTACCCATAACTTGAATCTACACAAGAAACATACACATCTATCTGCCCATAACTTGAACCTACACAAAGAAACATACACATTCATCTGCCCATAACTTGAATCTACACAAGAAACATACACATTCATCTGCCCATAACTTGAATCTACACAAGAAACATACACATTCATCGGCCCATAGCTTGAACCTACACAAGAAACATACACATTCATCTACCCATAACTTGAATCTACACAAGAAACATACACATTTATCTGCCCATAACTTGAATCTACACAAGAAACATACACATTCATCGGCCCATAACTTGAATCTACACAAGAAACATACACATTCATCTACCAAGCCTTGATCTACACAGAGAACACTTGCATGAATATACCCCAGCCTTGAACCTTATAACACTGTAGACATATGCATTAATGTAACCATAATTTGAATCTACACAAAGAACATATGCATGAATAAACCCCAGCCTTGAACCTTATAACACTGTAGACATATGCATTAATGTAACCATAATTTGAATCTACACAAAGAACATATGCATGAATAAACCCCAGCCTTGAACCTTATAATACTGTGGACATATGCATTAATGTAACCATAATTTGAATATACACATTCATCTGCCCATAACTTGAATCTACACAAGAAACATACACATTCATCTACCCACAACTTGAATCTACACAAGAAACATACACATTCATCGGCCCATAACTTGAATCTACACAAGAAACATACACATTCATCTGCCCATAACTTGAATCTACACAAGAAACATACACATTCATCGGCCCATAACTTGAATCTACACAAGAAACATACACATTCATCTACCCATAACTTGAATCTACACAAGAAACATACACATTCATCTGCCCATAACTTGAATCTACACAAGAAACATACACATTCATCGGCCCATAACTTGAATCTACACAAGAAACATACACATTCATCTACCAAGCCTTGATCTACACAGAGGACACTTGCATGAATAAACCCCAGCCTTGAACCTTAGAACACTGTAGACATATGCATTAATGTAACCATAATTTGAATCTACACAAAGAACATATGCATGAATACACCCCAGCCTTGAACCTACACTGTGGACATATGCATTAATGTAACCATAATTTGAATCTACTCAAAGAACATATGCATGAATAAACCCCAGCCTTGAACCTTATAATACTGTAGACATATGCATTAACGTAACCATAATTTGAATATACACATTCATCTGCCCATAACTTGAATCTACACAAGAAACATACACATTCATCTACCCACAACTTGAATCTACACAAGAAACATACACATTCATCGGCCCATAACTTGAATCTACACAAGAAACATACACATTCATCGCCCATAACTTGAATCTACACAAGAAACATACACATTCATCGGCCCATAACTTGAACTCTACACAAGAAACATACACATTCATCTGCCCATAACTTGAATCTACACAAGAAACATACACATTCATCTGCCCATAACTTGAATCTACACAAGAAACATACACATTCATCTGCCCATAACTTGAATCTACACAAGAAACATACACATTCATCGGCCCATAACTTGAATCTACACAAGAAACATACACATTCATCTGCCCATAACTTGAACCTACACAAGAAACATACACTTTCATCTGCCCATAACTTGAACCTACACAAGAAACATACACATTCATCTACCCATAACTTGAATCTACACAAGAAACATACACATTCATCGGCCCATAACTTGAACCTACACAAGAAACATACACATTCATCGCCCATAACTTGAATCTACACAAGAAACATACACATTCATCTACCCATAACTTGAACCTACACAGAGAAACCTACACATTCATCTACCCATAACTTGAATCTACACAAGAAACATACACATCTATCTGCCCATAACTTGAACCTACACAAGAAACATACACATTCATCTGCCCATAACTTGAATCTACACAAGAAACATACACATTCATCTGCCCATAACTTGAATCTACACAAGAAACATACACATTCATCGGCCCATAACTTGAATCTACACAAGAAACATACACATTCATCTACCAAGCCTTGATCTACACAGAGGACACTTGCATGAATACACCCCAGCCTTGAACCTTATAACACTGTGGACATATGCATTAATGTAACCATAATTTGAATCTACACAAAGAACATATGCATGAATATACCCCAGCCTTGAACCTTATAACACTGTAGACATATGCATTAATGTAACCATAATTTGAATCTACACAAAGAACATATGCATGAATACACCCCAGCCTTGAACCTACACTGTGGACATATGCATTAATGTAACCATAATTTGAATCCACACAAAGAACATATGCATGAATATACCCCAGCCTTGAACCTTATAACACTGTAGACATATGCATTAATGTAACCATAATTTGAATCCACACAAAGAGAATATATGCATGAATAAACCCCAGCCTTGAACCTACACTGTAGACATATGCATTAATGTAACCATAATTTGAATCCACACAAAAGAATATATGCATGAATACACCCCAGCCTTGAACCTATACTGTGGACATATGCATTAATGTAACCATAATTTGAATCTACACAAAGAATATATGCATGAATACACCCCAGCCTTGAACCTAAGAACACTGTAGACATATGCATTAATGTAACCATAATTTGAATCTACACAAAGAATATATATGCATGAATACACCCCAGCCTTGAACCTTATAACACTGTGGACATATGCATTAATGTAACCATAATTTGAATCTACACAAAGAACATATGCATGAATACACCCCAGCCTTGAACCTATACTGTGGACATATGCATTAATGTAACCATAATTTGAATCCACACAAAGAACATATGCATGAATACACCCCAGCCTTGAACCTATACTGTGGACATATGCATTAATGTAACCATAATTTGAATCTACACAAAGAACATATGCATGAATACACCCCAGCCTTGAACCTACACTGTGGACATATGCATTAATGTAACCATAATTTGAATCCACACAAAGAACATATGCATGAATACACCCCAGCCTTGAACCTTATAATGTGTAGACATATGCATTAATGTAACCATAATTTGAATCCACACAAAGAACATATGCATGAATACACCCCAGCCTTGAACCTTATAACACTGTGGACATATGCATTAATGTAACCATAATTTGAATCCACACAAAGAACATATGCATGAATACACCCCAGCCTTGAACCTACACTGTGGACATATGCATTAATGTAACCATAATTTGAATCCACACAAAGAACATATGCATGAATACACCCCAGCCTTGAACCTACACTGTGGACATATGCATTAATGTAACCATAATTTGAATCTACACAAAGAACATATGCATGAATATACCCCAGCCTTGAACCTACACTGTGGACATATGCATTAATGTAACCATAATTTGAATCCACACAAAGAACATATGCATGAATACACCCCAGCCTTGAACCTACACTGTGGACATATGCATTAATGTAACCATAATTTGAATCCACACAAAGAACATATGCATGAATACACCCCAGCCTTGAACCTACACTGTGGACATATGCATTAATGTAACCATAATTTGAATCTACACAAAGAACATATGCATGAATAAACCCCAGCCTTGAACCTATACTGTGGACATATGCATTAATGTAACCATAATTTTAATCTACTCAAAGAACATATGCATAAATATACCCCAGCCTTGAATCTACACAAAGAACATATGCATGAATGTAACTATAACTTGAATCTACAAAAAGAACATATGCATGAATGTAACCATGCCTTGAATCTACACACAAAACTTATGCATCATATAGGGAGCCTTAGATATCCCAAGAGCTTGCATTTACCCCTCCGTGGAAGAATGAAGACATATTTAAGTAGGAGGTTGCAAAGGCTTTACTAAATTTATCTGTTACATTTATAGGTATAAAATTACAGGTGTAGCACACCCACTGCTTGCTCATGTTAACAATATCCATCAAACCCCTTGGCACTTGTTATATCCTTTATATTATACATCCCTCACCTCTCGTTCATGGCGATCTGTTCTAACATGGCTGATCCTGTGTTAGCCTTCCAGTTCCCTGATATAGACTTCCGCCTGAAGACAGGAACAACTAGCTTAGTGGCAGCGGTGTTCAGAAAAACAGAACTTGGCACAGCGAAACCATCACAGCTGTAGATTCTGCACTACATACTGGGACAGCGAGTCAGCCAGATTGGCAGGTTGGTTATAAACACTCTTGAAGCAAAAGTTTACAAAAGATTGGCTTTAACAGTTTATGAGGCACTGGTTCAAACCCATGTCTACTGGATGACAAGTAGACACACTCTCTATCGTGCTACCTCAATCTCTAATTATCAGTGGAGTTATTGATGGAAATATTTTAGGGTTAAATTATAAAACAATGTAGAAACATTTTTTTTTACATTTTGTGATACTTCCAATAATATATATATATGTTTCTGTTGAACTTTTACAAATCATTTCTACATTAATTGACACTTCATAAAAACAGCAAATAGCATGAAAACATATCCTATAATTATGAACAATATTCAAAACATTATTGTAAAGGCATCATCACTAAATATCAGAAGACATTAATGTAACCATTATGACATTACACTAATGATATTACATGATCATATGTCATGACATCTATGTTATAACATTTATTATTCAATACATTGAGGCATAGGAATTATTGATCATGTGAATCAATCAGGGTGGAAAAAGAAGCCATGAATTGAGGCTCAGCAGATCATGCAAACACATCAATGTATAAAGAATTAAACACATGTGCAGTGGGATATGAATACAGAGACGGACAATAGGATTGATGATGGTCACGATGCATTACCATAACGACTGTGAAACAGAGAAGTGACATCACACATAAACAAACCAACAAACAACAGCAGCAATATACTATTGCCTCTGCTCAAGAAAGAGCCCTTACACACTTTATTTGTATAATGACATTCACCTTACAATTTAATATAGTAAATGATACTGTTGATCTCCCAAAACCTTGTCATATCATTAATAACACCTAGAATTATCATTTCAAATCCACAGGGGATACTGCTTTTGTGAGATCACTAGGCCATATTGTTGAAGTGAAATCCTGACATAAATTGTGATGTCATAGGTTACCATGATGTCACAATCACATGACATCACATATACTTTTTATACTCCAGTTTAAACATTGACTGGTAAAGGGGAGGCAACTCATCACAGTTAACCACCATTCATCCTGTGTCATATTCATGTTGTATGTCAACTGTATGGTAATATATACTCTGCATGTACTTGCTTCATATTAAGTCTCGTGCAGATGACATGATGTAATATATATCCATTAGTCTGCATACAACATCGGGTACTGGGGGCCTTTTCTTCGCCACAGAATCCAAAAAGATTGGAATACATGGGGTGCTGTGGGCTTATTTGGCCCCCAAATCCAAAAATATTGGAAAACATGAGGTGCTGTGGGCTTATTTGGACTGAAAATGAAAGTGTACAAAACATGGGATGCCGTGGGGCCTATTAGGCCCCTGGAGAATCCAACACATGGGCCTGTGTTCCCAAGAACCCATAGGAAGACAAGCATGGACACTTGGGGACCTATTCCGCCCTGTGGCTCCCACAGAGAGGTGAGCATAGAGGAAAGGGGACCTATTCTGCCCTAAGAATCCCACAAATAGACAAGCAAAGAGGACAGGGGCCTAGTCTGCCCTAAGAATCCCACAAATAGACAAGCAAAGAGGACAGGGGCCTAGTCTGCCCTAAGAATCCCACAAATAGACAAGCAAAGAGGACAGGGGCCTAGTCTGCCCTAAGAAACCCACAAATAAGAATCCCACAAATAGACAAGCAAAGAGGACAGGGGCCTAGTCTGCCCTAAGAATCCCACAAATAGACAAGCATAGAGGACAGGGGCCTAGTCTACCCTAAGAATCCCATAGAAAGACAAGCATAGAGGAAAGGGGACTAGTCTTCCCTAAGAATCCCATAGAAAGACAAGCAATACAGGGGACTTATACTGCCCAGAGGATCTCACAGTTACAAGGACAGGGGGCAGAGGATCTATTCTGCCCTGAGATCCAAACAGAAAGACAAACATAGCAGACTGGGGCCCGATGATTTCTCCAGATTTCCAGCCCCAGAATCCCTAAATGACAGGAGTGAATGAAAGCCAACTGGTATTATCAGCTTTCAAAATGTTGTGTCAAGTTCAAGCACTTACAGAGGCGGCATGCATTTAATAATATCTGAACCATTCTAACTGGGAAACTTGAACATGAATCCAGGTAACATCAAAATATTATTATACCTATTACTTCATCCAGAATTTGTTCAAACACACAAATACCAGATAATTTGTTATGTTTCTACCCCAACAATAACTAATAGCATGACAAGCCATCAACCATTCAGATGGATAGTGAATGTTTTCAGTAGTAAATAACATTTGTACAGGTAGCTAAGTGTTTGACTGACAAACAACTTCCTCTAGTCTAGCGGCACCACAATGATGACTGTAATCTGTCCAACAAAGCTATGTGAACTACTGCTACACAGTGCATTCAGGTACGACACCACTAACAGGCAGCTAGAATGGTGACCCGACCTTGACCCTTGTCATAAATATCATGCATCTTTAGCTTTCAGACCAGGAATGAAGGACTGACCAATACTTGGTCTGCATATAGTAATAAAAATACCCAAATGACACATTTAAACATAGGAAAATGTAAAAAAACCAAATTCCTAGAAACAAACTTTTCCAATACAAAATGTTTCAGATTTCTGAAAGATACATGATGTAATAAAGATCAGATTATTTACATAGCACTATTACCAGCATAACTTTAAAGTATCAACTCTGACATGTACCAGTTTAAAAAAATCAAGTTTAAACTAAATCATGCTGAATTTTTAAATAATTTTCAAATACTTTGCACAAACAAATATATTATGTTATGGTGAAACTGACAAAAGAGTCTACAAATACGCATTAAAGAGAATAATTTTTGCTTAATATCATATCTAAGTGAAATATGAAAAAACCCAAAACGATGAATTAATTTCTATCACTAATTCAAAATCCAACCTGGAAGTAGGTCTACTTATATTTGACTCCTCACGATATGGCTGAAACATTGCCGATGTGACGTTAAATATTAACTCATTCACTCACTTATATTTAACATAGCTTGGTTTGTTCTCATTTACAATGGAGTTATTCCCCTTGACCAACAATTTGGTTTGATCCCATATCTTTTAACAAAGGGTGACAGATTTTGTAATGTATTGAAAACTACAGGCACATAGATTACATTGTCTGATTCCAAATTAATAAATATCATTTTCCCTCTCAATTTGTGCTTTGAAATCAAAAGAAACCATGCTGTACTTACATGCAAAAATAACCAATAAACAAAATACACTTTCAGTTAAAGCCCATACATGGTGCATTAATATCAAAACAAGGTCACTTTAGGGTCAAGGTTACATAAAGGTCAGGCCTTTCACCATGTAACTAGGTCAAACAGTCATGGGACTTACATGAATGCCTTGTACTTATTGCCTATCTTCTGAATGTGAAGGTCGTATTTGCTGTCAATGTAGGGTTCTGTTGTGGAATAACAGGAGGTAACAGCTACCACCCCTGCTATGTCTTGAAAATCATAATGGCTGCCTAGTCTAACCTGAGCAGAGAGAAGGCATATGGATGTAAAAGGCAAAATAATGAAATAAAATCCCATGCACCCATGCAAAACTTGGGAAAAGCTCTTGGGATATGTGATGCCGTTTTGGAAGTAGCAGACCTGTAATTCACACAAGTCATAATATTCAATATTGGATTAAACCAAAAAGGAAATTTCTTAAATGAAGTTTTGTTTTAAATTGACCTGTTTTAAAGGTTTGAGAGGTTCACGAAATTAAGATTTACAGAAATTGATGACAAGGCGTAAATTACAGGGCTGTGTTATCCCATCACACATCCACAATGTACTGCACAACTTCTGTCACAAAGGTGCACCAATTGGATCAAAAAGGAAAGATGGAAGCACCAAACATCCTATCATGTCTCTATACTTAAGTTTATATAATCGAAAAATTTGAAAAAATTAATAAAGTTTTTTTTAAATTTGACAAATTTTCGCCAATTGTCAAAATTGTTAAAAACATACTTTTTTCATATCTGAGTGCTATGAATTGACACTTGATTCTTCCATCAATAACATTTCGTGGTGATAAAAAACAGTCATGGAAAACACACACTAGAGAACTTACAAGTAGGCTTTGTAATTGTTTCCAATTTTCTGAACATGGATATCGTATTTGCCTTCAATAAACTGTTCAGTAGTGGCATATGATTTAGTCACCGCCACCACACTCGCTATATCTTGAAACGAATGAGGAGAGTCTATCTTCACCTAGGCAATAACAGAGCAGTAATTGGTTAAACAGAGGGGCTGACAGCTGTCAATAATGGCAGTAATTACTTCCAAGTCTTTTGCATAATAACTTTTTGTGTCCCCCTAGTGTATCCAATGATGAACAACTGTCACATACCCAAGTAACACCATTATGTCTTAGGTTTTTAAATTCTAAAATTATTTTTAGTTTTTTTGTTTTTTTCTCTTTGTTTAGTGCTAAAATCAGCAATATTCCAGCTATAAGATGGTGGTCTGTAAAGAAGTCTGAACCAGACAATCCAGTGAACCTCTAATAGCAAGTATAGGCTGCTGTGGTCAGAAGCTCTTACCTAGAATCACAATGGGTGTAACAACTGACCACTACCCATAAAGGAAAGATGGCAAACTTTCAGAATTACTAAAGGGTCATAGAAAATGGCTTGTTTCAGTCTCAAAATCCAGCCATTTAAACCCAACACATTTTCATCTTGGGAATAATATTTTTTCTTCCCTAGAGAAACCAAACTGATACTGACACAAAGAATATTTTGCTAAAAAAATGCTTCCTTTTAAATAATATTCTCAACATCACTGCATCATTGCATCTTTCTTAAAACATTTTATGGTAAAGAAATAAACTTCAAATTGACACTGACAATATTTGTTACTTTTACTTTTAGGATAGTTACCAAGAAAATCGGAAGGATATATAGAATATTAATTTGAGTATCAATTTTTAAGAATGAATAGTCAAGAGAGTTTTAAAAAATTCAGATCACGCAGACAACGGAACCTGAAAAACATCGTTCCTCATTTCATTCTTGTAGTTATTGTACACGAGTGGAAAAAGTCACGCTGTGATTTGTTTATGATGCTTACACAGTTAAAGAAGAAGAATGGCATGAAAACAAATGTTAAAAAACCTTCTGAATTTGTGCATTCTTTGGTTTCTTGAAAATGGTACTTGGATCTATACCAGAATGCTGCCATAGTAGTACATTAAAGAATTTGTTACCAATAAACCGTGCATACTTTATTATACATTCTACACAGGGATTAACCTACCACCAGCATTAACCTATCACAGCTGATCTATAGCCAGAACCTGGGAATATTTCACAGCAAAGTACCAATAGAAACTGCAGAAATAGGGATTAAAATGACATACCAAATATTTGAGAAAAAGACCAAAAAAAGGTTTTCAAGCATGCTTCCCAAACATTTCTCATACACATTGTGCACATCATACAGTCATGAAAGGATAAACTTGAAATAGAATAGAGAAAAATTCAGCTCAATACCAGGTATATGTAAAGGAGAGGATTGAATCATTGTGAACAAATGAGCATTGTCTATAGTTAATGAGCGATTGATTCATGTTATAAAATAATAACATGTTCTTATTAATTCAAAACTTTTGCTCATTGACCATCACAGATACAAATCTATAGCAATGTCTCAAAAGAAACATGATTATTTGATAATTATTGATTATTGATTTGGGTATTTTTGGATTCTACCACACATTCTTTATTGAGCTGCTCTTCCAATCAATAGTCGGTATACAGAGTTTTTCCCATTAATCTTCACAATCGACTTCGGTAGTGTCAGTACTACAGTTGTAAGACAATAACCTTGATTTTATTTTGATATCCGCACTTTTCAACTTTGGATACTGATATTGAGATATTCATAGTGTCATACATTTTTTAGAAATTTGTTTTTTTATGAATGAGAGAGTGTTGAGTTGAAACAGTATTTCATTCACATTACAGGATTTCAGAGTGATTTGGGAATAAAGCTTTAAGTGATGCAGACTTTAAATATGACCGCTTTTTGGAAAACTGTGTATGCTGCCAGTGTATGAAATAAGCTGAAAATCCGGCCAGACATCAGGGCTGGTAACTTCAACATGTTACCAGCCAAAAATGGATATAACCAGACTAAATAAGGTGAATTTACTCAGATGTATGGAACATCTAAATTTTTTAGCTCCCTGTAAATTTAGACCGTCCGTCAGAAATCTAGACCGTCTCGGGCGGTCGGATGGGCCTTATTTCATACACTGATGCTGCACAGAGACCTAAAACCGTGATCAGTCTGGGATTCAAACCTACTGTCATATATATCGGGCATGGCAAAAGGGACGTAACTCTGCTCTGAGAATTCTGGTGCCTAGATAATTTGAAATGAAACTAAAGCCATGTCAATCAAATAAAATCTTTTAAATCCATTCATATGACAACATCTCCAAGCAGAGGAGTATTCTTTCCAGTTGGACACTCAAAATATTCCTTGCAAAAGATGAGTACTATAATATATTAACAATTGATTTATCATATGAAATAATTAAATATTAAAGAGTATGAACTGAGAGTGTTTTATTCTGTTTAAGCACTAACATGACACAATGTACTCAAAAACTTGATTTCAAAGTTTACACCATACCTTCAAATATTTATATTCCCAAGGATCCTTTTTGATACCAAATTAACAGTTAACAGATAAAAACAACCAATTACCAATAACTGATATAGTGTTATTTTCACCTTTCAAAGTTTAAGAGAAGTTAGATGAAAAGAAACGAATTCTGAGGACAAGATCATTTGTTTAATCTCACCTTTCCTAGGCCTGAGTGGGCATGGCCTATTTTCACAACCACTGGGAACTTTGGAGTTATGAGCTGAAACATACAAACAAAGGTAAAAACATCCCAATAACCAGGTTTTATCTGGAAGAAAGGAACATAGTTACTGATGTGCTTTACTCCACTTACAGGACATTAGTTACATTAGGGAATGACCACTGGATATTTCATGGGGAAGCTGGGAGTCTGATCTTAACAAAAAAGAAAATAATTGTCTGAGAAAATGCTTTTAAATATCATACTATTACATTAGATTATTTGCTCTGTTGAAAAGAACAGAATTTATCTGCCACAAAACTTACATTGTTGCTAGGTGATTTAAAGTATAAATATTATAGTTTTGATATAAATGATGCTTCTGTATCTTTAGCTAAAAACTCTCCTGTCTCCATGGTGATCCCAGCACCCCTCCCCCAATAACAAATGGTCAGTCCCTAATGTCACTGAGGGTGGAAACTGTGAATTTAGGTCCACATAAACACATATATTAGTTCCTCTATAGTGCCCCACTGTAGACAACTCTTACTCTCACTGCTCAGTAATAAATAGGAGGTGAAGTTAAATGGGCTTTAATACTGTTTTGACACAGAAGTTCTGTGTCCCATGCTTGGATTCAAACCATGGAGCTTTTGATCTAAGGATGGACGCCTTGTCCACATGACCCAAGAGACTATCCCTTGTCAGCAAGATGACATTGTAAGGATGTCATCATTCGTATGACTCCATGCCCAGTCACAACTGTATTCAAGATTATTACACTTACACAGGTGACGTGCCTACACATATAGCTGCTTGTAGCCTGGGCCCCGTTTCACAAAGCTCTTTTAAGCCTAAGGTCTAAGATGTCGTTCCTATACTGTAACATAGGATGTATGAATGCTACGAGAAAAGTTACGAGATCTTAGGCTTACGAGAGCTTTTTGAAACGGGGCCCTTGACGGAAGCCGGGTTTGTAGTGCTAGCCCACTGAGATACCATGCTACAGTTTACCATGGATACCCATACTGCCACCAAACAGAGCACTACTTGTTCAATACCATTATTACCAAGCACAGGATAAAAATAACAGTAATGCTCCATCCAATCATAGCTATACACTGTTGAATAAAATGGACAAACAATGTATTTGAGGATTTAATAATATTAATATAATTGAGGCATATTTCAGTTTGTATGTTATTCATGCCACAAAATGACCTGGATTTTGGAAAGAATTGAATATATTTGATGATGTATTCCATAAAACTTTCTTTTCCAATGATTTGCTTTCTGTTTTCTTTTTTTAATATTGAAATAGTGGATAGATGGGAGTTATACATAGTGGATTTTCTCAAGTCGTTTAAGTAGACTGTGATTGGAATGCACACTGGTGATATGTTTTTATCTACAAAACAGGGTGAATTGGAAGTTGGACAATTTAAACAATCTTAGCAATGGCAACATGGATGTTTGTGTGACTGGCTGCTTGTTTAACTGATGTCAAGTGGACAAACTAGCAGTGATGGCTGCCTGAAGGTCGTGTATATTGTACATAGCCTGTCACGATTGTAACTAACAATTACTCATGAAATATTTTCATCACAATGTGTGAAGCCCATTTCTGGAGTCTCCCACTGTGATATTGGTAGAATATTGCTAAATGTGGTGTAAAACCATACTCAGTCACTGTTAATTTTGTGGAATGTAATCGTATTGCTGTGTATCTATAAACCACATTCCCTTTAAGTTGGATGTGATCAGGTTCAGTGGTAGAGCCAAATGAACCACCAGCTCCATTAGTCCTCTCCCAGAACAAGCATGGGTGTCTGAGGATGTAGTTATTCAAGCCTGGATCCATTGACATAGGTACCTCATGATATACAGATATTCTATTGTGTGGCTATTAATTTATAATCAGTCAACAATAACAGGGTAACATCAAAACATTGTGTCATCAACAATGGTGTCTGTGTGTCATCAACAATGGTGTCTGTGTGTCATCAACAATGGTGTCTGTGTGTCAACAATGGTGTCTGTGTGTCATCAACAATGGTGTCTGTGTGTCATCAACAATGGCATCTGTGTGCCATCAACAATGGTGTCTGCCTGCCATCAACAATGGTGTCTGTGTGTCATCAACAATGGTGTCTGTGTGTCATCAACAATGGTGTCTGTGTGTCATCAACAATGGTGTCTGTGTGCCATCAACAATGGCATCTGTGTGCCATCAACAATGGTGTCTGTGTGCCATCAACAATGGTGTCTGCCTGTCATCAACAATGGTGTCTGTGTGTCATCAACAATGGTGTCTGTGTGTCATCAACAATGGTGTCTGTGTGTCATCAACAATGGTGTCTGTGTGTCATCAACAATGGTGTTTGTGTGTCATCAACAATGGTGTCTGTGTGTCATCAACAATGGCATCTGTGTGCCATCAACAATGGTGTCTGCCTGTCATCAACAATGGGGTCTGTGGGTCATCAACAATGGTGTCTGCCTGTCATCAACAATGGTGTCTGCCTGTCATCAACAATGCTGGCTGCTGGAGCCTACACGTTTGACTATGAACTATAGTTATTGTGTATTACTGCAATCACAAGATATCAAGCATTATGCAACTAATGTACTGTGTACACTGTGTACACTATTCTAAGTAATATAATACTACTGCATAGATCCTTGATGTCCTACACACTGCGATGTTAGACAAGACACTTGTCACATCCTGCACCAGCAGATATATGAGTATATCCTGTATGCATGTGCCCACTTCTGTATGTGTAAGTTCCCACACTCCACAAAGGAGTCGCTATGTTCCGGGGAATGTGTCTACGTGCAAACTCAGACTCCAGTCGTGGCTGCAGATTCCTCTCCTCCTGGTACTAAAACTGTCTGTCCTTGCTTCTGGTTTTGATCTTAATTGGCATTTACATTGTAGAGGAATAGAAACTTTTACAGAAAAGAACTTCTTTATAGTTTGTAATGAAAGAAAAGATTCATGTCTTCACCCATGTTTTCACTTTTAATCAACAGTGAATAAGCATTTTCCTTTAATGCCTCTTTGAAGAGTATTCACTTATATTACTGTAAGTCAGCCTCAATGTGGGTAGAAAGTCTGAAATGACCTTGACCTTGGCGAAATTCCTGATCACTGGTATGGTACTGGCAAACCAAATCCATCTGGGCTTAGATATTAATATTTTTTGGGCACACCTGTAAGTTTTTACTTTGCACATACTACTACAATTCAGTGAACAGATTTAATATCTTAAAAATGATACAAATACACTTTGTGTTCCATTTGAACTGATTCACAACACAGTTTTGTGCCTATATACTTTAACACCAACATGCTGATGTTCCATCAGTTAGGAATGCATCCCATGTTTTGTTGTTAAAAACCCACTTCCTACTTCCTCTCTGTGATCTATCTAGCTGTCTCCAGGCAGTGTGTGGGAAAATGTGTTGTGTGGGAGTTATACAATAGCATACCATTCCGCCCCCTCCCTCCCCCCAGTTCCTCAGCTCATACACAAGGAAATATGTCTCCACTATAATTCCTGTTGATGTGACACATTTTACAAAATTTCATTTTCCCAGAAGTACCCATAAGAATGTATACTACTTTCAACAACAGATCACATTAAGCATCACTGGCGCTGTCTGTGGTACATTTACAAGGATGAAATAATAACAAGACACAGATCTTTAGATGATCTTAATAATAAATCCATCTTCTTTGTAATATATAATACTATAATACATGAACTCTATTATAACGAACAGTATGCTGAAAAATCTATTGTACACTGATGGAATTTTAATATTAATTAATAGATTTTAATTGGAATTCATTAAGAAGATGACACAAGACACTGGCTTCGCATTTTGTACTCTTGTGGGAAAAATAAACTTGTTCGAATGATAGGCAGAAGCTTGAACCACTTGGCTACTCCTAGTCCAGACTGACAATGCTCATAGCACAATCTCTTCATGATAGACTAAATTATTTGCAGACTGACGTCATGCAGTTGGAAAACAGTGGAGTGTTGTGTTAAAACAACAAACAAACAAACATTATGACCGAATCAAGATGTGCGTACCTCGATCTCACCATCACAGACAAACAAGGATCGTAATTCCATCCACAATTCCACCTTGTCGTCATAGACTTATGACATTCAAAATTCTACCCTATTATCATAGACTTACGACATTCACAACTCCACCTTATCATCATATACTTACGACATTCACAACTCCACCCTATCATCATAGACTTACGACATTCAAAATTCTACCCTATCATCATAGACTTCTACACCCACCTCCTACATTCACACCATTCATGAACTCCACCCTATCATCATAGACTTACGACATTCACAATTCCACCCTATCATCATAGACTTATGACATTCAAATTCTACCCTATCATCATAGACTTACGACATTCACAATTCCACCCTATCATGATATCACCCTCATCATAGACTTTACTTCTTCACAACTATCACATAGACTTCACAACATCCACCACTATATCATCATAGACTTACTACACATTCACAACTCCACCTACTATCATCATAGACTTACAACATTCTCCACCTTATCATCATAGACATTCACAACTCCACCCTATCATCATAGACTTACAACATTCACAACTCCACCCTATCATCATAGACTTACAACATTCACAACTCCACCCTATCATCATAGACTTACAACATTCACAACTCCACCCTATCATCATAGACTTACGACATTCACAACTCCACCCTATCATCATAGACTTACAACATTCACAACTCCACCTCCATATCATCATAGACTTCAACATTCAATACATTCACAACTCCACCCTATCATCATAGACTTCAACTCCACCCTATCATCATATACTTTATTTACATTCAATAACTCCAATCTCTATCATCATCATAGACATGACATTCACAACTCCACCCTATCATCATAGACTTACGACATTCACAACTCCACCCTATCATCATAGACTTACGACATTCACAACTCCACCCTATCATCATAGACTTACGACATTCACAACTCCACCTCTCATCATGAACACCAATTCCACGCTTTTAATATCATAGACTTACACATTCACAACTCCACCCTATCATCATAGACTTAGACTCCACCTTCACTATTATCATAGACTTACTTCACATTCACAACCCTATCATCATAGACTTACCATATCATATCATCAGACTTACATTCTCACATCCACCTCATCATAGACTTACAACACAACATTCACAGACTATATCATCATAGAGACTTACGACATTCACAATCTCCACCCTATCATCATAGACTTACGACATTCACTCCCCTATCATCCTTACGACATTCACAACTCCATATCATCATAGACTTACAACATTCACAACTCCACCCTATCATCATAGACTTCACGACATTCTTCCACCCTATCATCATAGACTTCACGACATTCACAAACCCTATTCACCCTATCATAGACTACGACTTACAACTCCATTCACAACTCCACCTTATCATCATAGACTTACGACATTCACAACTCCACCCTATCATCATAGACTTACAACATTCACAACTCCACCCTATCATCATAGACTTACGACTTATCATAGACTCTACATTCACAACATTTACTCCACCTTATCATCATAGACTTACAACATTCACAACTCCACCTTATCATCATAGACTTACGACATTCACAACTCCACCCTATCATCATAGACTTACAACATTCACAACTCCACCCTATCATCATAGACTTACGACATTCACAAATCCACCCTATCATCACTTACGACTTGCTTACACATTCACACAACTCCACCCTATCATCATAGACTTACAGACATTCACAACTCCACCCTATCATCATAGACTTCACATTCACTCCACCCTCTATCTCATAGACTTACAACATTCACAACTACATTCTTTAACATTCACAACTCCACCCTATCATTCTACCCTTCATCCACCCTATCATCATAGACTTACGACATTCAAAATTCTACCCTATTATCATAGACTTACGACATTCACAACTCCACCCTATCATCACAGACAAATGATGATCAGCAACTCCATCCCATCGTGACATACATGTACTTATGATGTTCACAACTCAATCCTATGATGACAGACAAAACACAGAGGTCAGGAAGCTGCTGGTGTCCGTCTTGAGGCCATACATTAATACCACCAGGCACATCACGTCACTTGACCTGATACAGTGAGATCTGCATCCCGCATTCATTCAGAGGCTCTACATCGTGGTACAAGAATTACAACAGATTTGTATCGATCATCAGTTGAAGATGTAAACATTTCAATTATTTAGGCAGTTTGCGAAATAATATGACAAATATATTATCAAATTCGATGAGGAGTAAATTTTCTATAAAAACTCTTAAATTAGAGTCTTTTTAAAATCTTTAATAACCTTTGCTTATAGAAATGAAGTAAAATGTAAGTTCTTTGAAATAAAATGAAAATGAAAAATGTTTTTTGGCATAATGAGCGAACACTTTGGCCACTTAAAACTAAACCACCGCCCCTCTTAAATTGGAAATAACCCAGGAGTTGATAAAAACACATGGAACATGTGATGCATTCTGATGATAGATATCAGGCCTTAATATGTTTTGTGTTTCTGTCAGGAACTCAAATTATTGTTTTTATAGGGTTTTTCAAAGTTCAATCACAATAGAATTAAAATATATGCCTGTTGAATTTAAGGTTAGTTTGTATATTCTAAATCAAAACATGATCAATGAAGTTTGATCAACTGATATGTTTTAGCTATAGTATTGTACTCTGTATACCTATTTTTCACAACTCTATATACATACACTTGATGTGCTTAAAAACTTCATTGTCATTTTACTTTTCACACAGACTCATCCATATAACCTAAAGAGATATTTTGTATGTGTAAATTTTATTTTAAAGTAAATCAATCCATTCCTCTTAACCCTCCTGAAATGCACTTCGACATTTCCGAGACTTCCCAACCAATCACCGTCATCATCCCCCCCAACCTCATCTCAAATACCACATACGCAAATATGTGATGTACACAATGGAAGGGCATGGAAGGTGGGCGTAAAGTGACCCAGGAAGTACTGCCATCCATACCAGGTTTATAAATACTGGGGCATGATTCCGTGAGTGGTAGTGGAACCCAGGACACTCACTCGACAGAAGGTATGTGTGTTACCATGTCAATCTACTTCCTTAAATCATAACTCTTTGTATAAAACAAATGTTGATATAACCTTGGGTTGTTGGAGTCTTTTTATTGATTTCTTTTTAAAATATTTTGTTTGTTTTTTAAATTAATTTCTCCATTTAGCAGTTTTTGATGAAATATGTAGTTTATAATGTCCATTGTCGGTTCCATACTCATCTATATTATCATAGTCTGTCTCACAGTCCCTGAACCACATTAATTTCCCTACTGCCAAGCCCTCTCTGCAGTGCTAAAGCCCTAAATAAAGCAAGTCTAGATTTCCTCAGGTTCTGAATCTCTGGTCTCCCTAGGGCTCCTTTTCAATATAAATGGGCTTGTTTGTTACTATCAAAATTATATATATTCAGAGACTAAGCCTTAGTCTAATATTATCATTATATTAGCTTGTATATGATATGTTTAAAGTTTGTGAGTTTAGATTACCCTTATGCTAATCATCTTCCATATTTTAAAATTGTTTCATCAAATATTCACTTTGATTGAAAAGTCATTTCATTAACTGATAATCGGTATCAAAACTGCTTTCAGGTTATCAACTATTAACAACAGTTCAAAATCAAACCAATCTTAGTCCTCCTTAGACTGAAATAGTCAATAATGAATACATGGCATATTAATCTGTCAGTGGTATAGTGTTAATGTATCATTTATGTATCTGCATGTACTGGATTTGTTTGAATTTGAAGTCAACTAATGTTCATAATTCAATGTGTCCATGCCTCAGTGTAATCAATTTAAGGAGTCATAATTTTTAGACAATTTTGTTGTGTATTTCCAGCAAGATGGAGTTTTCACCAGCTGTTTTCTTTGTGATGGCAATGCTGTCAGTTGTCATGGAAACTGAGGGTTGCATGTGCCAATTCCAGCCTCTGAGGAGCTACTTCTGTCAAGCTGATTTTGGTAAGGGCTTGGAAATAAAGTGCATAGTCGGCTATAGAGTAGAAAATGAAATTAGTGTCTTGATTGAAGATTGTTTGTTGTTGAATACCAGACTCAGCAATATATGTATAAATAACAACCAACTAAATGTATCAAGTCTGTGACTGCTTGCCATCAGCTGCATCAGTGCTCATGATATCGACCACTATTTGGTCCAGACTTGACTATAGCAGACTGTCGTCATACTGCGGGAATATAGCCGAGTCACATCAAACAGCAAATAAACAATTAAATTCATTGTTTTTCTGTTTATATCTTCAAGCATCCATTACTATAAGTAAAGTCAGTTTAAAGTTTAATGATTAAACATGTTATATTTGGCATTACACTTTCTCAGTAAAGTACAGATTCATGTACCTGCGACGTCAAGTCCCATCTGGGATTCGAACGCACCCTCTCAGAGTGTGGCACCTAATTACAAGCACACAAGTTCAGCGACTTAACCCATTCAGGCACTACAGCTTCCACAAAACATGGAAAACTGGTCATCCATATCACATGCTTCGTGTACTCCTCTGACAAGTACAAATTGAAAACTACATTCACTCATTTATATCATGGACAGGTCATAAATTTGAATACCCCCAAACTGTTTTCCTCATTTGGACAAAATCAGCTCGATCTAAAAATAGCACAAAACTAAAAACACTCAATCTAACATCAAACAACCTCCTCATCATAAAATACCCATAGCAAAAATCAAGAAATAATGTGGCAACATGTTATGCTATGTTGATAATGACTGGATATACTGTTACAGCTGTGAAGGCAATTCCATCAAACTGGACCACTGATAATGAAGGACATTTTGCCAGGTCGACCTTCACTCTTCAAATCGTTCACACATACAAGGTGAGAGCACTCTCCTTCTGGTAGTAACTGAGGAAGCCATTGATTCTTTTGAGTTACACCTGAAGCAGTACAGGTGACTAGTACCCCTACTCTTCCTTAACTTGTCCTTTACAACACATATCCTTCTCTACATAGACCATCCTTGTGTACACTGCTCAAACCACTCTTCTTTACCCTCCCTACCTTGTCTACTCACCCTACCCTTGTCTATACTCACCCTACCCTCATCTACTGACACTGACCTTGTCTACTGACTCATACCTTGTCTTTGACCTCTCCCTTGTCTACTGACCCTACCCTGTCTACTGACCCTGCCCTTGTCTACTCACCCTGCCCTTTGTCTGTACTCTCACCATACCTGCCTCTCACCTCCTACCCTCGCCTACTCCACCCCCTACCCTCACCTACTCACCCTACCCTGACCCTACTGACCTCTACCCTTTGTCTTCTGACCCTACCCTACCCTTGTCTACTGACCCTACCCTACACTGGTCTACTCACCCTACCCTCGCCTACTGACCCTACTACCTCATCTAATGACCCTGCCCTCGCTCTACTCACCCTACCCTGGCTCACTCGTTCACCACCCTACACTGCCCTCACTCACCCTACCCTCTCGTCTCTCTCTCCTACTGCCGCTTACCTCAGCTTCTACACTTCTGTTTACTGACTCTCTCTTCCTACCCTTGTCTACCCCTCATCTAATGACTACCCCTCGCCTTCACCTCTACCTCGCTTGTTTACTGACCCTACCCTACCCTCAGATACTGACCTGACCTCTACCCTCATCTAATGACCCTGCCCTCGCCTACTCACCCTACCCTCGCCTACTCCACTCTACCCTACCTTCTCACCCTACTCACCCTACCCTCGCTCTAACTGACCTGACCCTACCCTCATCTAATGACCCTGCCCTCGCTTCTACTCACCCTACCCTCAGCCTACTCACCTCTCTACCCTTTCATCCTCTCACTCTTCACCCCCCTTGTTTACTCAACCCCCTCACCCTACCTTTACTTATGACCCTACCTCTACCCCTCGCTCCTGACCCTACCCCCTCATCTAATGACCCTGCCCTCGTCTACTCACCCCTTCCCCTCGTCTACTCTCCCCCTACACTCATCTACTCACCCTACCCTCGTCCACTCACCCTACCCTCGTCCACTCTCCCTACATTTGTCTACTCGCCCTACATTCGTCGACTGTCCTTACCCTTGTTTGCTCACCCTACCCTTGTCTTCTCACCCTATCCTTATTTGCTCACCCTACCCTCATCTTCTCACCCTACCCTTGTCTGCTCACCCTACCCTCGTCTACTCTCCTTACCCTTGTTTGCTCACCCTACCCTCGTCTACTCAACCTACCCTCGTCTACTGACCCTACCCGTGTCTACTCTCCCTACCCTTGTCTGCTCACCCTACCCTTGTCTGCTCACCCTACCCTCGTCTACTCTCCCTTCCCTTGTCTACTCGCCCTACCCTCGTCTACTCTCCTTACCCTTGTTTGCTCACCCTACCCTTGTCTACTCAACCTACCCTCATCTGACCCTACCCTTGTCTACTCACCCTACCCTACCCCTGTCTACTGACCCTACCCTTGTCTACTGACCCTACCCTTGTCTACTCACCCTACCCTCGTCTACTCACCCTACCCTCGTCTACTGATCCTACCCTCGTCTACTGACCCTACCCTTGTCTACTGACCCTACCCTTGTCTACTCACCCTACACTCATCTACTCACCCTACCTTGTCTACTGACCCTACCCTTGTCTACTCACCCTATCCTTGTCTACTCACCCTATCGTCTACTCACCCTACCCTCGTCTACTCACCCTACCCTCATCTACTCACCCTACCCTTGTTTGCTCACCTTACCCTTGTCTACTCTGTGTGACCCTACCCTTGACTATTAAACCTAATCTTGTTTTTTTATCAGATTCCAGTTTTCCTGGCCAATGAGACAGAGATCACAGTCAGCTCCTGGGAAAGTGATGGAGTCTGTGGCATAAACCCTGGCAGACCATCACCATATGAACAAGAGCATCCACGGGCACAAAGGCCAATCTTTATCACAGGTAAGGTCAACTATCATTTCATAATGATAATTCAAGTTACCATGTTTACAATGTATTCAAACCTCTTTATAGTAACAGACAGTGAGTGAGTTAAGTTTTATGCCGTTTTTAGCAATATTCCAACAATATTCCATCAGGGGCCACCTGAAATGGGCTTCACACATTACACCCATGTTGGGAATTGAACACACTTTAACCACTAGGCTGACTCACCACCCATCATAAACAAGTTAATAGATAAGACAATACATAAATTATGAAAAAAGTAAACCATACTTTCTACATGTATCATTGGAAGTTGAATGTGTGTGATAAGACAACCGTCAATGCAACTGCTCATTATCGAGAGTATAAATTCTTCATTCTAGTATGATAAATACCATTGACCATACCTTCATATATCCACAACAGTCAATAGGTCAATAGGTCGATAGGTCAATAAGTCAATAGGTGAAGGGCAACAGTCACAATGAAAAGAAGGTTCAAGGTCTCAGAACTGTATCACATCCCCCCTCATTTAATGTAACATTTTACATGCCCCTCTAAACATCAAAAGAAATATTTGTTCGTGACCTCCCCATTCCTAGGATAAATGATTATTAAAAAGTATAACATTCAAATTCAAATTCATTTTAGAATCTTCATGCCCCTCCCTGACTTCAGTTGTGATATGAATTTTTGACTTCCTTCTTTCACTTGATGACCCGTCAAGATCCAGGATAGAAATGATCTTCAGTAACCCATGCTTGTCGTAAGAGGCGACTAACGGGATCGGGTGGTCAGACTCGTTGACTTGGTTGACACAAGTCATAGTATCCCAATTGTGTAGATCAAAGCTCATGGCTGGAATATTGCTGAGTGTGGAGTAAAACCAAACTAACTCACTCACTCTTTCACTTAATCATTTTATTATGCCTACAATGTTCTAGCTTTATACCCAGATCTATAGAGGCGCATCTCATCACCTATATTTGCTGCTGGGGATCAAACCTATTTGTAATCAATACGTATGTCTATTTGAATATGTTCTTATTGCAGGCAAAGTCATGGAAGATGGTTCATTATGGACAGAGTTGTGTGATCATATCGCTCTGTCATGGAGATGGCTGTCAAAGCCCGGAAAGACGCACGATCCGGAACTTTCCCAACCTGACATGTTGATAAGTCAATCGGATACAAGACACGGAGTGCACGGCTAATCAGTGCTGGCTGCCCTGTATGACCTCAAATGATGTCATGAATGGCGTCATGGCTTAAATGCCAGTGTTAAAGACAAAAACCTGGACTTGTCAACAGGGTGAATGTGCTACCTGCTTGCTATTCGTGAAGACATTGTGCCAACCAATGCACACTTGAAGACTTGGTGAAAATGTTGATATGTTGGCCAAATGGTATGATCACTTTACAGGCTGTGTATGGATGATGTGTGTTTATAATAAAAGAATTGCTTTTATCTCACAACCCCTTGCTTTTTAATAAGTAATTCATGAACAAAGGACATACTTGCATGTCATGACTCATATCATGTGTCATGTCAACAAAGTGTGTCATGACAGAGCATGACTGGACAGAGCAATACATCACTGACTACCCAATGATTAGTTGTACTGCATGATTAGAATTTGCTGAAAGATGTCAGTTCAAGTCACTATAAGGCCAGACCAATTTTATTTCTTGTTTTACGGATCTGCCTGTCGTATTTGTTCAAGAATAAGAATAAAATAAAAATTTATTTTCCCTGCTCAAAAAATAAAATCCTAATGTTTTTATTAGCCAAAAATGTAAACTTACAAGAAAAATGTTTTTTAGATGTTTTTTGCCCCATATACACTTCATAAATTGCAAAAAGTAAAATACTTTGAATATTTAGAAGGAATATTATTTTGACTGGTGATTTTATTGTATTTTTTTCCCTCCTGCCTTTAGGTTTTCTGAGGACAAAAATCTGTAAAACAAAAATAAACTTGGTCTTGCCTAAACTTCTTTAAAAATAGTCATCAATTGCAAACAAAAGGTCATATGCATTCAAATTTCTTGTTTTTCGGTTTAGAGACACAAATATTTGAAACGATGGAAAAAGTATTCTTTCATGTTTTGACTAAAACATTCACCTTATCATGAAAACAGATATTCAAATGAAACATTGCCATGTTATGATGAAGTCTGTAAAGACTGAAAATTGGCTTGCCATGTATAATATATAGGTCATCTTTGTGCCCATCCACGCAAACATTTAGAGCAGAAAATCAAAATATCCTATATAAACAAAACATACAAAGACCTTCATTTCACAAGGTATCATAACGTACGGTTTTATCTGTGATTTTTGTTTTGAACAAGATGAGAAAAGGTCATCTAAAGCACTAATAGTTAGATATTTTTCCTCCTAGCCCTGTGTGTTTGATATGTTGAATACAATATTTTGTTTTATTTTGAAAACCATTTAAAGAAAAATCAATATGTAAATGCAATATATTGCTGAATAAAGTTTAATGATTTTTTCACAAAAAGTGTTATTTTTTACTTTCTTTTGAAACATCAACTACATGAAAGTATTGATAAAGTGTGTATGGGTGTGTGTGTGTGTGTGTGTGTGTGTGTGTGTGTGTGTGAGAGAGAGTGAGAGTGTGTGAGAGAGAGAGTGTGTGTTTGTGTGTATGTGTGTTTAAAGTTGTTATATAGTATGTGAGGCAATATATGACCACCCCTTGCTTGTCTCTGAAATGCTGAGTGTCGGGCAAGGAAACAACAAATACCATCTTCTAACATCTTGAGGCTAGAGAACTTCCTTTCTCTTGACAGATACTCATTCCACAGGCCCGGAGGCATTAAAACTTCCCTGGATACCAGTAACATTACCTAATTATATCATATGTGTTGATATTTTAACCAAAATATCATGTTTTATGTCAATGTAAAATTTCAAATACTGGTATTATGTATTAGAGCTGTCACAGATCAGCCAGTCAATGCAAATACATAATAAGATATTCGTGGCATTTGGAATAGTGAAATGAATTGCTACTTTATAAGATCCATACGTAAATGTGAGCCTCGGTAACTTGATGTAAAAACTACCTACTATCTACTCCTCACATCTGTCCCATGGACCCAGCATACAAAACTGACTGCAAATGATATGTGACTGAATAATAACATGTTTCTTCTGTCTACATTATCTATCTAACACTGTACCCTTAACCAAGCTACCCTACAATACTCTACCCAGCTACCCTACAGTACTCTACCCATCCAATATTTCCCTACAATACTCTACCCTGTTTATCTACCCTACAATACTCTACCCTTAACCAAGCTACCCTACAATACTCTACCCTGTTTATCTACCCTACAATACTCTACCCTTAACCAAGCTACCCTACCCTACACTACAATGCTCTACCCTATTTCCCTACAATACTCTACCCTTAACCTATCTACCCTACAATACTCTACCCTGTCTATTTCCCTACAATACTCTACCCTTAACCTATCTACCCTACAATACTCTACCCTGTCTATTTCCCTACAATGCTCTAGCCTTAACCTATCTACCCTACAATGCTCTAAGAGGCTCTGCCATTAACCTATCTACCCAATTACTCTACCCTGTCTACCCTACAATACTCTACCCTGTCTATCTACCCTACAATATCTACCCTACAATACTCTACCCTGTCTAACCTATCTACCCTACAATGCTCTGCCCATGCTCACCCTAACCTATCTACCCTACAATACTCTACCCTTAACCAAGCTACCCTACAATGCTCTACCCTTAACCAATGCTCTACCTTAACCAAGCTGCAACAATGCTCTCTACCCTTAACCTATCTACCCCTACAATACTCTACCCTGTTTATCTAACCACAATACTCTACCCTGTTTATCTACCCTACAATGCTCTATCTACCCTACAATGCTCTACCCTCTAACCAAGCTACCCCCTACAATACTCTACCCTTAACCCTATCTACCCTACAATACTCTACCCTCTCTATCTATCTACCCTACAATACTCTACCCTGTCTATTTCCCTACAATACTCTACCCTTAACCTATCTACCAATACTTTTACCCCAGTCTACAATACTCTTACCTAGTCTATCTAACCTATCTACCCTTCAATACTCTACCCTACCTAGATACCATTCTATCTTTCTATCTATCTAACTAGAATATTCTACCCTATCTATCTTCAAATTTGATCTTTTAAAGACAATGTATACATTCAACCAGTTACTAACACAACATTATAATTGATATTTTTGTCAAGATATGAAGATAATGTAAATTTAAGACAATTTAGGTGTTTCTTTTCATTTTTTTTCAGTTTCCTATAACTTAGATAAGTTTGCATTATGTGATATTGATCATATATATCATTGTATATATACTTTTAAATGGTGCATATCTGATAATGGAATATGTGTTGTTTCATCCAGTTGCCAGAGCTGAGATTATGAATGTGAAAAAGGTGAATCACCACGTCAAAAACTGCTGCCATATAAAAGTATAGCATTATAAATGTACATCATATGTATAATAAATAAGGCTTATCATAAAAGTAAATATAATAGATCATATAAAAACTGGCATAAAAATATCAAAAGTGTAATAAAAGTGAAAAAGGCAATATTCTATTTAGAATAGAAAAGCATAAAACGACAAATGTCGTGACATTAAGCATCAAATAAGTCAAATAAACATTCTACCATGACATTTTAGAATCCAATTTCTGAGTGGTTTACCAGAGATGTTAAATCTATGTTCGACAATGATCTAGTCTAACCGTATGAACACATTACCACAAAAGAAACTATATTCAGCAGCATGTCTTTTGAAAACTAAAGAACTAAAATGTTGATCTTTCTGATGTAACATCCCAAACTAATAAGTCGCAGAACCTACATTTAATACAGCTAGGGTGACAACATATTTCGGATGGAAACATGATGAAGACATATTGTAGATATAATACTAATGACTAAGCTCAGCATCATTAACACAGCTTGACTTTTGACCCTACTAGATGACATACCATGACGTCACATCGACGTCATCATGATAAGACTTCCCTTCTTCATGAATCCTACAGAACTTCATGACTTCTCAATAAAGGTGTGTACTTTAGAATAACATTTCACAAAGATCAGTTCATTTGCTATAGGGCTGTCAGTTTGAATAATGCTAACAGGATATGTGGTCATGTGATATTATTGCCTTTAAAAAGCTGTTCATATAACAAATGGTAAAAATTATGGTTTTGGTATATAAATCAACCACATGTTGAAATATAAATTTTGGTAAATAAACCAAACATAAACATATTAAATCTGTTCTTCACTGAATACACATTAAATAATATACCTGACTAATATTAGGTTTAACGTATTCCACAGCACTAATTATATCAGCTTTAGCCAAAGGATTCGCTTTCTGTCATGGTAGAAGGGAAACAAACCTAGAGTGTCTTCAATTCAGATGTTTTGAACAGACATTCAACCATGTAAATCTTCAAACTCAGAACCTCAAGCTATTGTGATTGATTTCAAAACTAAAAGGTTCCTTATCTCCATTCAAAACATCTAAATTGAATAAACACTATGTTTATCTCCTAATCATGAAATAATGAGTTATAAACAAGCAAGATAAGAAATATCAAATCACAATATCTACAAATATATAATAATGATACTGCACGACTAGTTTACATTCAAACAAAGCAACGAAATAGTTCTAATCAAAAGTAAAACTATTCATGACAGAATTATCTCCCTTTTTCTGAAGCTACACAAACAGTGGAATAATTGAAGCTTAAATATTGAAAATGAAATAATAAATACTGAAAATATGAAAAAATATAAACAAACCAATTCTGTTGTATGTGTTTGTGAAAACATGCCATAAATGGTTGACTTTATAACAGACAAATCACCAGGTGTGCTAAGTTTAAACTGCCACAACACATATCAATTGTGAGGTACATGTAGTAATGAGCTTGCCCAAGCAACGGTTGTTTCCCAGAAATTATTGAGAAAATCTTTGTTTCCTAATACTGATAATAGAATTTTAAAATAGGTGTTACATTATGTAGTAAGGTACTCAATATGGGAGGCAACTCTTGTAGGCTTAAGAATGAACCTTACTACATCAAGAGTTATCTCCCCTGGTGTAGCAGACGGCTTCCTTTGTTGACATGGCAGATTTGACAGCAGAAGAGAAAAAAAAGCTGGTTCTAGATGATTTTGAAAGGGTGTGACTAATGCAAAAGAGTTAGCTGGTAGACATGACATTCCTCTGTCTACAGTATACAGAACTTTGAAGAATATTCAGTCAGGAGTTGGGATTGAGCACAAGACAGGGGCAGGGAGGCCAAGGAAGTTCAGTACTACGGATCGCCGGCGACTTGGTCAGATTGTGAGTAGGGGAAAATTGAAAAGCGTTGAGAATATCAGAAATGAGATGATTAATAGAGGAAGTCCTCAGGTATGTAATGAAACCCTTAGACAAGAATTACAAAGACTTAACTGGGTGAAAAAGCGCGGAATTCCCTCACCATTGATGAAAGATGCACAAAAAGAAAGACGTTTAAACTGGTGTAGGGCTCACGAAAATCAAGATTGGGATAATGTTTTCTTTTCTGATGAAAAGTTCTGTCTGGCTTTTTCCGAACTGTGTGAAAATTTGGACAAAAGATACCGTGAAACCTATCTACCAACGCCCAAAACATAGCCCGAAATTTCACATGTGGGGTGGGATATCATCACGTGGAGTGACGCCGTTGTGTATTTTCACTGGAAATTTGACGAAGGAACGATATGTTGACATCTTAAATGGTCACCTCCTTCCAACGCCCCGAACACTGTATGAAGATAATTGGATTTTCCAGCATGATAACGACCCAAAACACACTGCAGGCTACACAAAACAGTGGTTGTCGGACGAAAATGTTCAAGTTTTAGACTGGCCCAGCTACAGCCCAGATCTTAACCCTATTGAGAATGTGTGGGGACTAATGAAGGACAGAATAAACCAAAAGGACTTAGAAATATTGAGGATATGAAGAAAGAAGTGGTCGAATATTGGGATACGCTGTCACACGATTTCCTACAAACTTTGATCGGTAGTGTACCTAGGCGCATTCAGTCGTGTATTGCAGGGCAAGGAGGTCTCACAAAGTACTGAAAAGACACTTAGACTGTAAGAGAATCATATCTCAACATATTCATTTAAGTAAAACTTCTAAAGTTTATATACATGTATTAGATATTTGCCAAAACAACTTTCTTAATAATTTCTGGGAATAAGCTATCATTCCTCAGCCTATGTTACATGGTAGAAAATGGTCTCAGTATCATGCAAGGTCATTATGACTCATATCTACCAATGCTGCCATAACACAAGATAACCTTGGCATCATGAAAGCATGTGAGGACATATTAGCCAATATGGTAATGATCTTGGTATATGGCATGCAAGGTATCATAACCTGATATTTGCAGTCAATTATGAAATAACATGGAAATAATCTTGATTATATTTGGTATCATGCAAGACATCATGCAAGTATATGTCAGTCAATATGAAATGATACTGAAATAATCTTGATTTAATCATGGTATCATGCAAGGATGCATCAGTCAATATGAAACATATTATTGAAATTATGTTGGCATATCATGGAACATGCAAGGATATATAAGTTAATTTGACATGAAAAGAAAATAGCGTTGATTACATCTTGGTATCCTGCATGGATAAGTCAGCCAATAAGATGTGTTGGGAAATAAGCGTGATTATATCATGGGATCATGCAAGGATATGCCAGTTAATATAACAAGCTTTAAGACAAGACAGGGGAATAATTTTAATTATTTCATGGGATCATGCAAGGATATGTCATTCAATATAACAAGACTGGGAATTTTTTTTCATTATTTCATGGGACCATGCATAGATATAAAAGTCTATAACATAGAGACAAGATTAATATTATATTTTGATATACCAATATATACAATGATGAGAACATGCCATTGGTGACCTGTAGCTCAACTTCAGTGCTTTGTACAGTCAAGTTTATTCATTATTACCCAGAAGGTGGTAACATTGTTAAAATATGTTTTAAAGAGCAATAATATTTTGACAAATTGTTACACATGTTAATATCTAAAGAGCACTAATTGTGGTGGATGGTATGAATAACAGATCATACCCTCACAACGGTAGCATATCAAAATTTGATAATGGACATAACTAAAATCTCCAGTCATATATATCCATGCCTTACACTACGCTGTGATCACACCCACATTCCATGAACTACCGGTGCACATATTCCCTGATAACTCTCACATCACCAGCTACAATATAAAGGTTTTTCATCCTATAAGCATTTTTGTCTGTTTAAGGCCACACATAGTTCAGCCACAATACAGCAGTGTACACAGTAACTGGGTCTGGAGTTGAATATCCAGTGATTGACATAATGAGCATGATGACACTAAATCAACCAACTCCAGGGCCAGTTTGACCTTCTCATAACCAGCATGGGTTCCTGGGAATCCCCATCAACTGCCCATCAGGCTGCATATATGATACAGCACAAGACATGCTAACTTGTCAAATGTCTCTGTGACTTGTTCCTGAACATATCACTGTACCTTGACAAGAGTTGCCATGACACTTAAACTACAAACAGTACATTACCTGACTTGTTAATGTAACAACTGATTTGAATCAATTCAATGTAAATCACGAAGTTTTCACAAAACTTTTTTCCTAGCAATTTTCCTGTTGAATGTCATACCAGAGTTTCAAGGTTATTATTCCTTGAGTAGCAGATAAATCTTTAGTTACACGATACACAATATCAGAAGAGAAATAATTTGAATATATATATTTATCAGAAGAATTAACAATGCTTACGCAGATCAAGGGCATTGCAAAGCCTTTTAGTGGATCTTAAAGCCTTGTCAAAGCCTTTTGAAGCCTCCTCTAAGATTGTATGGCCATGAAAGTTTGACAGAGTGACAGTTAGCGCCAGACTAGTGGGAGGCAGCTAGTGTAGTTCACCACAGGTGGACAAAAAAGCACCGGCACTGGACAAGAAACCATTACATTAGCTCACCAAAACCATTGGTTCCAGTGAGGGAAAAAAAGATGAATCAAATTCAACTTGCTAAAAAACATATTCTGTTTTGAACATCATTGAATCTAAAATTTATTTATCAGAATGAGGGTCTTTGTTCGACTGCATACAGTCGTATTTCATGAAACATGAACTGTTACGGAAGTAAGCTCTCTTGGGGTTGTGGATGTAATCTGAGTGAGAGCTGCAGCCACCAGCCTCCGTCCATCACACTACTGCACATACATAGGCTGCAACTACAACGCCAGTTTGTACAGAAACATCAGCTCTACTCACAATTCAGGATACTCAGAAATAGCACAAACATGGCATTCAACTTTCTCAGGAAATCAACTCTAAATTACACCATAAAAAATGCACTTAACAAGTGCGAGGTTCTGCTGATCATAAGCAAAGAAAAATATACCTTTGGCACATTTAAAAGTTAAAGTATTATAAGAAATATATACATTTTGCCACACACCGACAATATTTCACAATAAATTGATGATTTTTTAATTTGAATTTTAAACATTTTAACCAAGTTAAAGTTTGAAACGTTCAGGTAAACAGACCATTGATAGTGTTGCTTTACGAACTGTACTCTCCTTACAAAGTAGTATCATAGCTGCTGCGGAGTATCTGTGGTGGTGTAGGGAGGGAGGGAGGTGGGTCTGCAGCTCCTGTTGTTTTAGAGAAGAGAAGGAGAAGATGTGAAACTCACCCAGAGGTTACTCACCATTTCCTTGTGGTTGGGGTAGTATGCTTGCTCGATCAGTGGAAACATCTCCTTTCCCAGCCTTTTCTGTATCATTATCAAATGTGCAAACTGAAATGGAAACATGTGAAACGATTTTTACACTGAACAATACTTCTTCTATATCATGGCATGGCAGTATTGTGAAACTGGCAAAAGTAGATGCTGTCATAGATATTTGGTGATTTCCAGAGAGGGTATTACTGGCTTATATCACAGCTAGTATTGTTGATTCTGGCTTATATCACAGCTAGTATTGTTGATTCTGGCTTATATCACAGCTAGTATTGTTGATTCTGGCTTATATCACAGCTAGTATTGTTGATTCTGGCTTATATCACAGCTAGTATTGTTGATTCTGGCTTATATCACAGCTAGTATATCACAGCTAGTATTGTTGATTCTGGCTTATATCACAGCTAGTATTGTTGATTCTGGCTTATATTACAGCTAGTATTGTTGATTCTGATACACAGAAATCCATTAAGGTTCAGCATCAAACCACATGATGATGATCATGATGATTGTGATCGATGTCACTTCATCATGTTCAATTACACCCAAAACAAATTCTTTGATACTCTGATGAAATTAGTTTGAAAAGGCATGATATTTCAGTGCTATTTCATTTTCAACATAAGGACAATTAATTAAAAGCACTGCTATATGAAACTCATAAATGATTCCAATACTGATTTAGTCTGGACATTCTAGGAGATACTGGATGTCAAATATATGAGGGTTGGCTATGCTTTTGATTCTGTTTCAGCTGAATAGTCAGGACATTCTAGAAAATCCCTAGTGTTTTGTGGTGACTCATAAAAGTATTCATGATTACTCAGGCCAATGAATTTCATGAATACTTTACTTGAGATCTCACACTAATTATTTAAAATAACTGGAGGACTCAGAGAAGCACTTTCATCAGATAACCTGTTAACAGGCTTAGACATACTGATGTAGCATGATCTGGTATTTAAACCAAAACTACACAGAATATGTTTTATTAAGGATAATTAATTTGAGAAAATATACATGAAATAGTGTTGTCAGTATCCAATACAAAACCTATTCCTCAAAAAAAAAATCATAATGCTTAATATTTTTTGTTCAGTATAAGACTAAATAAATAGCAAGGCGGAAATCAATATACAGTTTACTAAAGAATCCATTCTAATGGGCCTTCCTTCCATGCGAAATGACCCAGTAAACGTAATCTGTCTTGTAATAAAAAACAATTTTCAAAGTTTATCTTAAAAGAGGAAAACTTTCCTTTGCTTCGATCCAGATGGAGTTAACAAATTACTTAAACATAACTAAACCCATAGCTTACTCCAATTGTGACAACAATAAATTTGTCAAATTTTGGTCCAGTTGCCATAAGTTGATTGTTTGAACCATTCTATTCAATTACCCTTTTCAATGAAACTTTGTTTATTGATTTATGACATTATATGAAGTGTTCAGTGAAACATATGTTAAATGACATATTATATCATTTGCTGTACAAAAAAAAAGTGGAATAAAAAAATAAAGTAAAAAAAGAAAAGAAAAAGAAATATGACACTTCATAAGCATGGCGACAAAGGCATGACACCATGGGAACGTGGTGGATATGGACTCTCCTTCCGTACCACTACGTACCACCCATGGCTTGTCCAGGAACTGATACTGAGAGTGAAGGGCATTGATACTGGGTACTCCGCCATACTGGAAGCCCAGCAACAGATTCCTCCAATCCTCGTGTGCGTCTCGGACATGTTGTCTCACCAGCAGGAAGTCTGGTTTGAAGGATCTGTAACGAAAAACACGAATTTGACAAACAGGTGGAACACCAGAAGAACATTGTAGTGTCACCATGAGATGATGTAATGTCTGACTTTTCTGATTCACAAGACATGTTAGATGACATCATCCTTGACTGTCTGCAACAGGACTTGTATCATAGAATAATGAGTGAGTTTAGTTTTACGCTGCACTCAGCAATATTCCAGCTATATGTTGGTGGTCTGTAAATAATCAAGTCTGGACCAGACAATCCAGTGATCAACAGCATGAGCATCGATCTACGCAATTGGGAACCGATGAAATGTGTCAACCAAGTCAGCAAGCCTGACCACCCAATCCCGTTAGTCTCGTTTTACGACGAGCATTGGTTACTGAAGATCAATTCTAACCCGGATCTTCACAGGTCCCCTAGTATAATGACTGATCAGCAAGAATAAGAGCCTACTTAAAGTAATCTAGCCACAGACCTAGCCAATAGCTAGGCACTGGAAGGTTTACAGTGGAATTACAATCTTACAGATTCTAGTACTTTTGTTGGGTTGAGTCCCATCCGGGATTCGAACCCAGACCCTAACTGCCAGCACACAAAGTCAGCCGCCTAACCCGATCAGCCACCACAACTTCCAGCTGAGTGGGTTAATGGCATTGTGTAGTCATGATAACACATGCTTATTATTGGATGAATTTTTGGGTAATAATTCCCTAATTTCCTATCTTGTCCAATGCAAACCATGAACATTTCATTTAAGCTAAACACCGAAATTCATTATAAAACTAACAACTTGTAGATGCTACTCACACCACCAAGATAATCACATCAAAGGACAGCTTTGCGAACACCTGGTGTTATCACTGATTGATAATGTTCCCTGGACTCATGCTTGTGACAGCTCTATATGTTCAATGACCACACTTTCTAAAAGAAATTGCTAAGGATTATCGAAGCAGCTTTGTTGCTGCTATAACCTAACAGAATAAAAATATCAATGAAAACGTTCCAAATAGTACCGATTTTATGTCTCCTTCTATTATGAAGATAGGATTAAATCTGACCTGTCTTCTAAATGTTCCCAAATTATGCTGGACATAATTGTCTATTAAGCTGACGGAGGACAACACAGTGGCTTTAATGGAGAGACGATCAAAGCATGTTTGTGACACTGACTAAATAAGTTAGACTCCCTGGGGAGAGTTGCCAGGAAGTGTACTGAGTGAGGAAGAGACTCCTGGGGAAGATAATTAATATGATGCGGTGGCTGCTGAATAATAGACAAACCCTCCATCATCATCATCGATGAGGCGCTGCTGGGGGCGCCACTGTGGTTACTGACAATATTATCCCAGCTTCTCCTTTAAGCAGTTCTGACTATCACTAATTACTTACTTATTTTACTTATTTTCAACCATGATTTCTGTTACACACTTAATGCACATACTTAACTTCATTCCAATATACATGTAACATATTATATTTTTATGCTTTCTGTAAAAGTTTCATTCATGATGCAGCCAAAATTATCCATTTGAAAATAAAGTATCATCATATCTTAACTTTCGGTGCTAAAGTTCCATTGAATTATATTCTATTCTTGCGTTTAACATTGTTATAATGCATTATTACTACACAGAGGACAGGTCGACCATTTGTTTAATGCTGAATAATTTCACATGCAGAGTTACATGCCTTTGTTGTGTCAGAATCCTGTCATATATCTGTAAGTGGCAGTATAGTAGCTGTAATATCATGAATGAAGATAGTATTTGGTCAAATATGAAATGTCACTTTGACTATAAACAGTTGAAATCCACGTGTACCAAATCTACCTTTTTTCTCATGCACCCATGATCATGTGTCTGAATCACTGAATATAATGAAGTCCTATGCTCATGCATTCACCCTCTAATGACATGACATTACAGAAATACTGCTCAAAATCTCAAGATATGATATCATACTGATCCCATTCATAGTTCTGTTGTTTACAGATTTCAGATAATGGACATTATGCACCCTTGTCGTTTGGTTCATTTCTGGGGCGGTGGGGGAACCTCTTGTTAAAGGCATTCTGTCATTACATCACATGTCTGGCTTTCAATTCCTCAAATGGGTACACGATGATGATGATTTGGAGATTTCACATGCGCTTTTGCAACATAATGCATTTAATGTGTGAGACCAATTTATATGCAACAAAGGGGCCATATTGCCATCCATCCATAAAGATTCTATGACAACATATGGAACTGTAAAGCCATGCTCATAAAGGATAAATATTCAAATTGAAATATTTTTTTACTTATTAGGATATATTCTCAAATTTGGCCATTTTATATTTGATCATCTAAATATCTAGAAATTTTCCAACAGTTAAAAAACATACATAAATTGTTGAATGGACTGTGTAAGATGTGAAGCATCATCCCATGTGAACTGTCTGTCTCTCTGTCCATTTGTCTCTCTGTCTACAGTTTGTACGTTTGTAAATCTTTAGAACGTTGCGACATTCGACAATAATGAGAATATCGATGGACGGCATCCCTCTCCAGCTTCACAGTCACCACCAGACACCACAGACTGGACACATGTGTTGCTGACAACTCAACGCTTTAAATGTATCTGACTGTCATGTCTGGTTGTGCTAATTGCTTGAGGAAGCCTATCCTTGTGTTTTCTTCCGATCATTCAGTCCTATAATTGTAACTTGTCATGGTAAAAATATATATAAAACCCATCATACTTGTAAAATAATGCATAAAAATGTACAGGATGGATAGTCTTCAGATCTTTTATATGATCACTGGACCACTGATTTTGTTTTCAAGAGCCATTAATGGTTGAAAAGATGTCAAATTTCAATTATATAAAACAACACATTTTTAATGTGTGCTCATGAACAAATAAATAAAAAAATAGACACTCTTAATTTGACCAAAATGGATTCCCTATGTCATTATCATGATGTCTGTATTAAATGTTTATTTATAGATATTGTGAAAGTGCTATCTCATAGCCATTGTAGTACAGTCTTCCTGAAACATGAGACAGCAAATACAATCTACCATCACTGTATAGAATATCATTGGTCATCAGAGGTTTCAAATCATAACAACACACAGTTTGGTTAACTGTATGATAACCTCCACCATTATTCATGATTCGACCCATTTCCAAACAACTATCCTAGCATAGCTCTCTATCTCCAACACAGTCGGCTGATCTCCTTAAAATGTCAGCAGTACCTATAAATATTTATACACCTCTGATGATCCAGTAACTATCTTTCATTGGACACAATTCTTAAGTTGGCCAATACACAGTGTTACAATCTCTGGGATAACCAATCTGCTCCACCCAAAAAGACTTCAGGCATTTTCTGCTTTTGTAAGCCAATCTATAGAGCCTCTCTTTTAATTATGCCAATTAATGCCCTTGCTATTGACCGAGACAAAAGACCAGTTTTCTAAATGAAATGTAGATTGCTGTTATGCGGTAGCCAGGGTGATATTTCTATTCCCTGCTTTTCAGGACCTATTTACAAATAATTCAAAGTACTGCTATCAATCTTTGATCTACCCCTTGAGATCACACTCGCACACTGAGACTTGTAGCTATACTCTGGCAGTTAAATATCTCCTGTTCTGGTATTTCATACACAGCAAGTGCACCCCAAAACACGCTATCTTCACATTTTGTGTTATCCTGTTGTTTCACATTGAAAAAAATGAATCAGGTGGTGACCTTGACATGGCCTTCAATTCATTGAGTGATAACCAACCTTTGAAAATTTAATCTGTTCTTTCATCTTATATTGATTTTCTAAAGGCTGGAACAACCACATGAACTCTTTCAGCTCGAATAGTCTAGCTTCTGTACATTAACCCTTTTGGGCCAGGAACAACCACATGAAACCTTTCTGCAGGAATAGTCTAGCTTCTGTACATTAACCCTTTTGGGCCAGAAACCACATGAAACCTTTCAGCAGGAATAGTCTAGCTTCTGTACATTAACCTTTTTGGGACAGGAACAGGAACAACCACATGAAACCTTTCTGCAGGAATAGTCTAGCTTCTGTACATGTAACAAGTACGGATGGAGGATTTTGACTTTGGTGAATTACAGGTTAGTTACACTTGGTTTTATATAAAAGGAATAAACTACAAAAATATGTTTAATTGTTGACAGGTTAATTCAGAATTTATTGTAGCTGAATTTATGCATTTGGTGGAGGTATACTTTGACCTATGGTTAGAAATTGTTGGTGTCAATAATTTCACTTACAATTGATTCAGATTAATGTTTGAATCCAAACAGATTGTACGTTTACTTTACTGGTGAGAATTAGCATTTCCATGCTAATTAAAACATACATATTTTAGGTCCTTGGTGTTTTGTTGGTGCCTCACAACATGTGGCCAGTTTGAAACAAGTTGTCCTATAGATGGTAAGACACGTTGATGTTTCATTGTTGTTTTGAAGAAATTCCTAAGGATCTCAATATGAAACTGAACCATAAGTCCTAAGGATCTCAATATGAAACTGAACCATTGATTTTGTGATGTGAATTTGTTTTGAGTTCTTTTTATATGTTCAATGGTAGTACTGCAGTTGTTAATTATCTGAACCATGTGCACTGAAATGAATGTGATTGAATAGATATTTTGATGGAGAATTATATATTCATATACATTGTTTCAGACTTGTATTTATACAAACTACACTAATAAACTGGAACTACAGCCTCAACGGAGTTGTGTGTTGTTGAGTCAGAGCCATTCCCGTTACATACATTAACCCTTTTCTGGCCAGGAACAACCACATGAAACTTTTCTGCAGGAATAGTCTAGCTTCTGTACATTAACCCTTTTTGGCCAGGAACAACCACATGAAACCTTTCTGCAGGAATAATATAGCTTCTGTACATTAACCCTTTTTAGGGAACAAACCACCACATAAAATCCTTCTGCCTGAGCTGTCTGGGTCCTGTGCATTAACCCTTTTTGGGGCAGAAATAAACCCATGAAAGTTCTTCAGCTCTCTGCACTTTCTGAATTTTGAGAGTAACAATCTTTAAGATTTTCAAAGCTTTTATATCAATAATTTTCATAAGAAAAGAATTACTTTTTATGAGAAAAAATCCAATTTATCATCCAATATAATTCTTCCAACTTTGTAGTTTGTAAACATTAAAAATCCCAGTGATTTAAGTGTAAAAGGTCCAGCTTACCAGCTCTAACAGCAGAGAGATAAGTAATGCCATTTGATTCTGTTGTCATGGTAACTGATGATGTCACAATGGTCTGCAGAGCTTATGATCTTATGATAAAAACCAACTTATTCAAAACATCTTTGCTTTGTAACATCGTTTGCACTATAGGGACAATCCTGGAAACCTTGACTGATTATATTGATGTATAAACACTGAACATAACTCACAGCAAACTGAGACTTCCTGTGAGATTGCATGTTTTGCATTGCTATGGGTTCCTGTCAGTCACGAATGGCCTTACCTTATTCATCATGAACAACCTCAACAGCATCGCTTAGATGAAAACTGGGACTCGCGTATTCTTAGGAAAAACATTTCTGTCAATGTCTGTCTGTCCGTCTGTATATATGTGTGTGTTCGTGTCAGCATGTGTGTTTATGTTGATGTGTGTTCGCTTGTTTGTGTGTATTTTTGTGGGTTTGTGTGTGTGTGTGTGTGTGTGCATGCTTGCATTTGTGTGTGCATGTGCATGCTTGCGTGTGTGTGCATGTGCATGCTTGTGTGTGTGTGTGTGTGTGTGTGTGTGTGTGTGTGTGTGCGCGCGCGCGTGTACGTGTGTTCATTCGTTCATACATACATACAGTAATTGAATTTAAGCAAAAATAATTTTGACCACCAGTTTTGAATTTTAGGCAAATATGCTGTAAACCAAATAATAAAACTAGAAGGCCTATTTGTATCACAAACAGTACAGATAAACATGATGTAAGTCTGTACAGTGCCTTCTTGCTATCTACAAATAAAGTCATATTCAATCTCTGCACTATATCATCCAATTCCCAGCTGATTAGATGTCATGAAGGTGTGTCATGAATGACATGATGTCTTTCTTACTGCATCCGCTGTGCCAGATTTGAATATAAAAGGATTTTTGCTCAAAGTATGTTTCAAATGATTATAGAAATGTGTGTTTTTCGGCTAAATTGTGCTGCTGTTTAATTATACTTTCTAAATGTTCATCAAATAATGGAAAAACACCATTTCTCAATTGCCACATAAGAAATGTCATGCTTGGGTTAACACATCTACCGCCATTATTGATCAACAAAAATTCCATTTACACATTTAAGAATCCATCACGTCTAAAGAGTTCTTGTTAAATAAATAATCGTCTTGATAAGGGCAGCATGACCAGTACTCTAGTGATAACATAAGTTCCCTCGACTTCAGGCAAGTTTGGTTTGGTTTTTTCTCCATTTACAGTTCCACCAAAGTCGCAGAAAAAAAAAAAAATTCCAGTTGAATTTTTTTTATGAACTCTGAGACAGGTAATCACTCACTTGAAAAAAATAGTACTGGAGGTACAGAAGCTGACCTTTATTCATTTTGTTTGTTTGTTTGTTTGTTGTTTAATGCTGCAGTCAGCAATATTCCAGCTATATGGCGTCAGTCTGTAAATAGTCGAGTCTGGACCAACAACTAGGAGAGTTCTATGGACATACAACTTCTTTATTATTTTTATGAGCGACATTTCTGTGTGCAGCTACTAACACTGTTCTCAAGTAAGTATATCCACAGAACTCGCTTCGTTCAAAACACCAACTTCTAAATTCTCAGAGAAGTTATCTGGAGCAGGCAGTCCAATGATCAACAGCAGCGATACGATGACATGTGTCAATTAAGTCAGCGAGTCTGACCACCCGATCCTGCTAGTCACCTCTTATGACAAACATGGGTTGCTGAAGACCAGTTGTAACCCAGATCTTCACGGATCCTTTATTCAGTGATGTAACATTAAAGTAAGTGAGTGACTTCGGTTTAATGCCTCTTTGAACACTATTTCATTTATATCATGGCATGTCAGATAGGAAACGAGGTGATGAATAGTCTCCCATGTTTACCCCTTTGGGAAAAATAGGGACTAGAATCATAATCAGGGCAAATCAGGATTCTAACACACAATCATCGGTTTCTTGTCTGCCTAAGGGAGGCAACTCTGCAAGGTGACTCAGTGAATGGTTCCTTAAAGTAACATATGAGTGACTGAGTATAGTTTTATGCCACTTTTAGCAATATTCCAGCGATATCATGACGGGGGACACCGGAAATTGTCTTCACACACTGTACCCATGTGAGTAATCGAACCTGGGCTTTTGGCGTGACAAGACAACACTTTAACCACTAGTCTACCCCACCGCTGCTATAATAGACGATAATGTTTCAAACTGGATATTTTATATAAAAGGCATTATATCCGACTGATGGAGACAATGAAGCTTTTTTAGAAATCCTGTTCTTTGCACCTTTGTTTGAATGACATCACATTTGGTTATAAAATAACAATGAGACCAAACTATTTTAAAAAGTTGAAAAAATATTCTTTGGTTTTTGCGAAATCAATCAGTCTGATACGGAATTTCCACAACACCTTCCCATAAAGTACTGAATCAAGATGTGACATTTCATCGACCCTATCTGTGTTTTAATGCAGTGTTGCAGCAAATAACTGGCAGACATGTTTAATGTGGCATATGGTCTGCCCGCGGTCTTGTTTCATGGATCAGTGCCTCCTGCTGCAGCCTACCTGACAACTTTAGTCCCATTCCTGTTGACTTGAATATCAACCATACATCCTGAGTCAGTGTAGGCAGCTAGGTTTATTTCAGAAAATTCAGCCTGCAAGTGAAGAAAACAATTCATGGTATTCACAAGTTTAAATATACATCATATAAAACCATACAATTAAATAAACCTCATACATCTTCAGTCAGTGAAGGCACTGGTTATTTTCAGAAAATTCAGCTTGGAAAAGGAAAAACAGCTTATGTTAATCACAGGTATGATCAGGTTTGCACTTGTAATTGCCGATGTAGCAAAATTGAAAGTTCACAAATGAAGAAACTACGAAATATATAATACCGGTAATAATGTAGACAGAAAACCTGAAGATATATATTTCTCAGATGTTTACTATTTTGGCGAAACCAACAAGCCGAAATGTGAAATCAAAAACTTAGAATCATAATCAAGGCATACCAGGACTCGAACCCTCAATCACAGGTATAAGACAACCCCAACCGACAAAACAGCATCCCATAAAACTGGGCCACCTACACCCCAAAATTCTGGAAATACAATAATAATGTGTCCATTTATACAGCGCCAAACTCCGCACTAGGTATGCTCATAGCGCTAACAATCAAGGCACAGCACATTATTACCCAAGCTGACTGGTAGGTGCTAGAAGGTTATAGTCATATGACTTATTCCACCGGGTACCCATTTTGCTGCTGGGTGAACAGAGGCAAGTTTGAACAAACTCACTTGCCTACGGTGAGACCTTATGTATGACAAACATATAAATAAATCACAGCATTATGTATTAAAATAGATACTCCTTCTCTCATCTTTTCACAAAACCTGGTCTGGGAGCAGTAAAGCAATATATAAAATTTGTGTGGCCAGTTTTGAGTAAGAGGGAGCTAAGTGAAACCCCAAAACTGGAGTACTGATGTAACATGTGACCTGAATTATCACAACTGAATTTCCTCTATGCACAATGCACAAGCCTGATGGTTTCCATTAATTCAGCTTTGAGTTTTACCTTATTATTCATACTCATTTTTTGAAATGGAAGTTAAACAGAAAGAGGTTGTCTTAATAATTAATGAAAGGCCATAACAGTCAACAAATAGCTCATTATCTTCTCTTCATGAGGAAGCAATATTACTAATGTGAAAATGAATTTCAATAGAACATGTTGAATTTAATCAAATATTTTAATATATTTTTAGAGATTCTGGAAGTTGAGAAATTTTACATGTATTTAAATAGTTGTGTAGTGATGCATGGTTTCGCAATATGATACACTTCTTGATAATAACTATGAAGTGTAATACAAGATATGGTACTATTGATGTCTGTGAAAACCCCGATGCCTATAGAATAGTGAGTGAGTGAGTGAGTGAGTTTAGTTTTATTCCAGCAATATTCCAGCTATATAGCAGCGGTCTGTAAATAATTGAGTCTGGACCAGACAATCCAGTGATCAGCTGTATTAGCATTGATCTGCGAATTGGGAACTGATGACATGTGTCAACCAAGCCAGCGAGCCTGACCACCAGATCCCAGCCTATAGAATATATACTGATAACAAAATATAAGGGAACTAATGATCTAAATGTAGCAGTCATTAAGGTGTACATTTATGATACTATGACATCACATCTGAATGTAACATCTAAACACAATGACATTTCACATCCTTCATAAACAACATGCACATGCCCCTTAGCTGAAAGTGTGTACATATGTCGTGGCACTCAAAATTCTGAATTAGCTGATATTAGCTAATCAAAGGTTTAAAACACCTCCGAGACAGTACCTCCAATCAACAGACAGAATGGCAAATTGTGGGTACAACGACGGGGATGTAAATATGAGGGGAATGTAAGTATGAGGGGATGTAAGTATCCATGGTTGTCCAAATATATGGCAAAACCAAATATGGAATTTGTCATCTGTGGAACAAGGCTGATCAAGAAAATGTAAAGAGATCTGGGTGTGGCAGGCCTAGAAATACAACAACTACATACTGTCTCATTAACTTAATGTCATTTGGCATCAGATATAAGTCTATTGTTGTTTGCAAAAGAGAATTCTGTACAATAACTGGATGCAAAATTCACCGAGGATTTTCCATTATAGAAACGGTTTGTTAGAACTGAAATAAATATGGTGTAGGGACTGACAGACGGACTAAGCTTGTGAAAGCAAGGATTCCTGCACTATGCAATGAATAGAAAGGCATTTCTGTTTAAATACAGAAGTCCACACAATAACAAGACATTAACAATTTTGATATAATAAGGCCATTTACATAGCAAGCTGTAAGTGCATACAGGATAATGGACATTGTTACCCCGGATAACCAAGATGCCTGAGGGGTGCTAGCAGATAAATCTTTGTCAAATGACCCCAGTTACCCATTCACTGCTTGGTTTGACACAACTCACTTGCCTACATGTGTGCTTCATTGTGGGGCAGGACTGAAGTCCTAGAAACTGTTAGGAGTCAAGCTGCCAAACACGTTTCACCCATTCAAGAACTCTACGTGCCCAACGTTGCTTAACTTAAACTGATTTGTGACCTGGGGCTCCTTTCACGAAGCAACCTTTACTAAGGTTAACCTTAACTCCCATTCTTCAACATTGCACTAAGGTTACCTTAGTGCCTTACGATCACCTTAGTGCTTTGTCAAAGGAGGCCCTGGGCTCTATGCCCAAGACCACACCACCAGGGTGTACACCAGAGACCTGGCACCCACCAATGTGGATCAGCATCAGGTCGTTCTTCAGGGCAGACAGTGTACACCAGAGACCTAGCACCCACCAATGTGGATCAGCATCAGGTCGTTCTTCAGGGCAGAGAGTGTAAACCAGAGACCTGGCACCCACCAATGTGGATCAGCATTAGGTCGTTCTTCAGGGCAGAGAGTGTACACCAGAGACCTGGCACCCACCAATGTGGACCAGCATCAGGTCGTTCTTCAGGGCAGAGAGTGTAAACCAGAGACCTGGCACCCACCAATGTGGACCAGCATTAGGTCGTTCTTCAGGGCAGAGAGTGTAAACCAGAGACCTGGCACCCACCAATGTGGACCAGCATTAGGTCGTTCTTCAGGGCAGAGAGTGTAAACCAGAGACCTGGCACCCACCAATGTGGACCAGCATCAGGTCGTTCTCCAGGGCAGAGAGTGTACACCAGACACCTAGCACCCACCAATGTGGACCAGCATCAGGTCATTCTTCAGGGCAGATACTAAGAGCAACTATATGCTATCTAATAATGAGCATCAAAGAATTGTGAATGTTTTGCCCAACATGGTGGACACACCACAAATTTATCTACAGGCCCAGAATTTAGTTTACAGACTTTTATTATCATTTACACCTTCACTGTAATTTCATAATTTTTGCTGGTAGTATAAATACCAAGGTAAAAAAAAAGTGCTTACACCCTGAGCAGTAACAATTGATCACATTATTGATACAGTACAATTGCCAATTACTTGATGTGAAAGCATCAATGCTGAGTAACACTATGGACGAATAGAACTGCAATATTATTGCAATACATACATTGCTCATTGTATCGTAATACATTGTATTGGACTTAACTATTGCATGCATTTGTAAAGATATCATTGACAGTCCAGGTAGTTAGTATCATATCCATGCTTTATGCATTCATGAATCATTCCAGGATCTGATGCTGCTGCTGCTACAGTGAAGATTATTCAGTGCTACATATCATGATGGGTTCAAATTTCACTGCACCTATACAAATTCAGTCAGTAAAAACTCTACATAACACATTATTATTAAGTGATGTGATACTGTTGGAATCAAACAACTAATTCTGCTTTTTGCAGAAAATTCTTATGATAAGAAAAACAGTTTTGTCGCTGATGTTGTTATGAATCCTTAGAGCCGTTCTTACACCTGTCATCAGAGGAAACAAGTGTCCAAAGAATGATATGAATGTGATTTATCAAAATCAGAGTAATCTTTCCAAGCTTGACCTTCTAAAGTTGATGATGAAAGTGATGGACCTGATAATGTTACAACCATCAGTATAATCACTTGTAGTAGTTCTTTGTCTTATGGTGATGGATGGGTCCAAAGTATAATCAATAATGTGGACATGAATGTCCAAGAAACAGATATATAATAGTGACAAAACTCTTTCAGTAATAATAAGACTGAGAGCATCAACTATTGTGTGATTCTGACTGTATCATAAGTATAGATACATTAATCACTATTTAATAGTGATCAATGTGTTTACGAAATGTTGAGCACATCCTGCCTCACATGTGGGATACATCAAAAACACATGCAAAGCCAAGTCAACTGTTTAAATGATAAAAGATGTGAGCATATAGTACAAGTCAAAATATGGAATTACATCAGACTTATTTTTGTAATGCATGCATAAAATTTGTGAGAAACCTTATAAACAGAACCATAGATTGTCTAAGGATAGCCATATGCGACATACTCTGATTTTAAGGAGTTTGGGGTAGATTGTCCAAGGGGTAGCCATATAGCGATGTACGCTGATGTATCTATGGAGCAACCATTATAGGCATTTAGATTGCCTGAGGATAGCCATGAGCTATATAGTCATTGCTATAGCTTATAACTAATTAGATCAATTGTTGATGGCTATAAATGTCGTGCCTTACCAATTTATTTTCTTGTTTTCTGACTTTTGTCAAATGTGAAGATGACAATTTGTCAAGATGAAAGGAGCATATGATATGCCTTCAGGGTTGATGGGAAAATAATTTTCAAAAAGTAACATCTTGAAATGAGATATTTTCAATCACACAGCACTTTTAATTTTTCTTAAAGTATGGGCTCAATCAGGCAAAACAAGAAAATAAATTCATTAATCTAAACTATAAGAAGCAACGTTATTATCAACTCACCTGCTCTACACGTATATCCCAGTCTCCAAATATCTTTTTACCTCTAAAGTATTTTGACCTGCAAGACAAATGTCACCTATTAAAACATTAAATATAATGTGATGCAGTTATGACAATACAAACAATTTAGAAAATAAAACTGTTAATTCTTGGAATCTGAGATATGCCATTCCTTGTGAAATAATCCAAATTAACAAAAATCATAATGAACTAGTTCTGGACAAACAGAATCAATTACTTCCCCCAGCATACAAACAGACATTCTCCAGACTGTGGTTTCCAGCCATAATTTCATCTAATTTCACTGTAAATGTCAAAGTATCTCTGCCATCACTTCAAAGAGCTAAAGATCATTTTCAGCCAAAGTGGGTAGAAAAACTAAGAATTAACAAATTTCCAATTTCTCTTCAGACAAGTATTTTCACATGAAGGAAGTATGGAATCTGTTAGGATCAAAACAGTTTAAATTTCATGAGCTCAAATCCTGTTTTTTTATGATGTAATGATCTGTGAATTCTCAAACCACCTGTGCATCTTGTAACGTTACCCTGTAGAAAATGACCATGATGCTGATGTCTATGTCATGGTTTTAGCAGACAACATGGAGTGTCCAATACTCAAATCATGTTTTTTTGTGATGTAATGATCTGTGAATTATCACACCACCTGTGCATCTTGTAACGTTACCCTGTAGAAAATGACCATGATGCTGATGTCTATGTCATGGTTTTAGCAGACAACATGGAGTGTCCAATACTCAAATCATGTTTTTTTGTGATGTAATGATCTGTGAATTATCACACCACCTGTGCATCTTGTAACGTTACCCTGTAGAAAATGACCATGATGTTGATGTCTATGTCATGGTTTTAGCAGACAACATGGAGTGTCCAATACTCAACACACTTTTTAATTTACAACAACATACTAAAACAATAAACTTTTCAGTGTAAGACATGTAGTAAATGTAAATTTAAAACATTTAAAACATTTAAAACTATTACTTTCTGACTTTGTCCACTCCCTGAAAATAAAAACTTTAAATAAGGTGTGTTCCACATGTGGAATACCTGAAGACATAACATCTAAGTCACCAGAACTTGGAGGAACTTACTCATGCTGAAGTAACCACCCTAAGCCACCACACACAGAATGACAAAGGTAAATCGATTGAGAAAATAAGACTTCGATTTATCACTGTAATTCAGATACATATGTATGTAGAATCATAAACATTGTGTAGACTGTAAGCCTGTTAAATGTAAGTATACTTTACGTTGTACAGCAGTAAGGGTCTGCGGCTCACCTTCTTGAAATATGAGTAAGTATTTGCAAGTGATACTGTGATGTTGAATATCTGATATCAGCTGACCAGCTGTGATGTTGAATATCTGATATCAGCTGACCAACTGTGATGTTGAATATCTGATATCAGCTGACCAGCTGTGATGTTGAATATCTGATATCAGCTGAACAACTGTGATGTTGAATATCTGATATCAGCTGACCAACTGTGATGTTGAATATCTGATATCAGCTGACCAACTGTGATGTTGAATATCTGATATCAGCTGACCAACTGTGATGTTGAATATCTGATATCAGCTGACCAACTGTGATGTTGAATATCTGATATCAGCTGACCTACTGTGATGTTGAATATCTGATATCAGCTGACCAACTGTGATGTTGAATATCTGATATCAGCTGACCAACTGTGATGTTGAATATCTGATATCAGCTGACCAGCTGTGACCTTAAATATCTGATATCAGCTGACCAGCTGTGACATTAAATATCTGATATCAGCTGACCAACTGTGACACTAAATATCTGATATCAGCTGACCAACTGTGAATGCTAAATATCTGATATCAGCTGACCAACTGTGACATTAAATATCTGATATCAGCTGACCAACTGTTACTCAAAATATCTGATATCAGCTGACCAACTGTAATGCTAAATATCTGATATCAGCTGACTAACTGTGACATTAAATATCTGATATCAGCTGACCAACTGTAATGCTAAATATCTGATATCAGCTGACCAACTGTGATGCTAAATATCTGATATCAGCTGACCAACTGTAATGCTAAATATCTGATATCAGCTGACCAACTGTGATGTTGAATATCTGATATCAGCTGACCAACTGTGACATTAAATATCTGATATCAGCTGACCAACTGTAACTCTAAATATCTGATATCAGCTGACCAACTGTAATGCTAAATATCTGATATCAGCTGACCAACTGTGACATTAAATATCTGATATCAGCTGACCAGCTGTAATGCAAAATATCTGATATCAGCTGACTAACTGTGACATTAAATATCTGATATCAGCTGACCAACTGTAATGCTAAATATCTGATATCAGCTGACCAGCCTTGACATTAAATATCTGATATCAGCTGACCAGCTGTGACATTAAATATCTGATATCAGCTGACCAGCTGTGAGATTAAATATCTGATATCAGCTGACCAGTCTGAGCAAACATCACTGCTTAGACATTTCCAACAGTATGTGAGTTAAGCACAACATTTGTCAACAGTGAAGCGCACTTATTGTATCTCCGTCTCATATAATATTCATGGCCTTGACAATAACATTGTAAAACAAACATTTCCACTTTCCTATTTCCGCCAGACATTTGTTTCTTACAGATAAATAAGTAAACTGAGCCATGGTTCTACAAGCATCAGATAATTCTATTTGCTATTGGATTAAATCCATCAAACTGGTGCTGAATCGTCTCGACATGAAATGAAGAAATCAATAACAAACACAAAACATCCTTTTTTCTTTCCAGGATCTATTTCCATGGAGACTTGACATAAATATGTCGCTCAGTAGAGATCGAGGTAGTTACGCTAACGACTCATTTGCATCTTGAAGATCAATAGGACGGTTTAACTTCTAACAGTCCCCAACAACCTTCTCATCAACATTCCACATGTCCATTATCCAACACCACATCTATTAATGAAGAGAAGGAAGGTCTTAAACCTGCACTTTATCACATGTCCCAGAGAAGTAAGAAAAATGAGTTTAATCTTAAAGGTGAAATATCAGATTTGCATATTATGTATGACCTAAATTATATTTGCATTCTATATTTGAAAACTATATGCCATCATATAACTATTTTTTTACAAAGTTTGTTTAATTTGATGCTTAACACATCATCAGTAATGAATGCAGAGCAAGCTGATACACGGGTGCATTTTCTCTATTTAAGGTATTAAATGCCGGGCTAGCAGTATGTATTTAAGTGTGTCACAGGGCACTCAAGAAGTTTAGATGTGCCCTTTCACATTTACATGTGCTGAGGAGAAAAATGCTTTTAATCCATCTTCCAAGTCAGTGAATGTCATTTCACCAAGGCAAACATCAAACAGACATTGAGATGAAGAATACAATTTTTAATTTCTGAATGCAAAAATATTTTCTGTGTATCATGCAGTTCAATAAGTATATACATACAACACATTTCCATATGTTTGTCACACTTATTTGTGCATTATGTTAAAGATCACACATACTCTAGGGGGTACAAATACATAAATCACTAATTGGCATCGTTATAAATGAAACCCCGTCTTTAAAACTACTCATTTTGATCTCTAGTTAACATAAATCGACCTTTTTGACAACAGTGCACAATTCTCACCCGCGAACGAAATTTCATCCAATCAGAGGGGCGCGTCTCCGTGACGTAATGTGAGGAATAGATATGAGGGCCAATGTAGAATTCATGTACATTTCAGGGGGTAAATTATCTTGTTTACAGGTTTGTATAAAACTGAAATCGTGAAAAATGTTGTGAAAAATGAAAGCTATATGTTTTTGTCACCTGCTTTGCCTAGCTTCCGAGCTACAACTTGTTTTCCGAGTTACAACTTGTGGGTTTTTAACCTTGATATTTCATGTCAGGTAAATATGATGTCTATTACGTATGATATTAAAAATTGACATTTGATTTATTTGAATCCGTAAACTAAACAACCCCACTTTGCCATTGCTAGAAGAATCTGAAAATTTACTTGGTAAATAGGTACATACAGTTTTAGCACACAGCAAATGCTTATATGTATTTCTCAAAACAGTGTCGGCCCATAAGTTTTCACATGCAATTAAACTTGCATGCAATACAGCAATTAATACTCCCTTATTGTAACCCGTGTTAGGTGGTATAAACCTACACGTTATTTGTCATCATTCACTTGATGGTCAGTTAATGAATTTATAACAGGTATAATTAGTGCTAACACCACTTAGATTACCCGACAGAGGTTCCCATTTGGTATTTCTTGTGTCTTGAGTAAATACTCAACATGATAAATAAAGGTCTGATGTGGATAATGTATTACATGTTATGTAATATGGGCATGGAAGTGCAGCAAGAAGAATGATCAGCCGAGGTTAAAAAACAAACATCGATCAAAGTATTAACCGATAACATGCTGATTGAATAATTACTTTTATCTTGCACAGCGGATTTGTCAAAAGGTAGTGTTTATGTATGTAGATTTACTAATCTATACTGAATACACTCTGTCGTAAAGTGTATGTGTAAAAACAACGTCCTTCCTTCAAAGGATTAACCGCCAATACATTGATTGATTGCTCATCATTGATCTGTTTGATTGGCATTTAGAAGTTGGTGACTAATAAGAAAGTAAGATTCTTTATGGATAACAACTTCAACTGGCAACTAATGCCAAGCAAGAGTGACAACGGTATAAGAATCCATACCGAAATGTTGCATCATATATAATAAAAGAAGTTGTTATCCATAAAGAATCTTACTTTTCTTGCTCATTATTGGTTAACTAAATTACTTTGTTGTAAAGAATGGCAGACATTATGCAATTAGTTGCCAGGTGTGCTATCTTGGGTGACCAATGAGACTATACACCAATGTGAAAAACCTGAAATGATATATATCACTTTTTCGCATATTAGACTGTTAAAAGACACATCACTTGGAACAGCTGCAGATGAATGGCATATCACTCGTTTATGTGGATATTGATGGATACAT